AATAAATCATATTTTGAAAGACCAACCCAAATGCCATGGAATTTACTGCTGCTAAAACTAAAGAGAACTCTGATTATTTACCTTCCACTGCTGACCTCTACTTGTCCTATAGACTGCATGTTTTCTGCCTTTCTCTTTGGAAATAGGGAGAACTTCCCCATTAACACTGCCTCTATACCACGATTACATGATATCTGTTCTGTCAGGTGGTCCGTCTGCTAAACACTTAGTCAGACTCAGAGAAATTGTTAGCTTTAGTATTTAGCATTAGTGGTTGGTTCAGACTTGGGTCAAAAAAGTGTCTATTTCTGTGTATGACTGTTGCTCAAAGAAGATAATACTACAAATCTCATGTAGAGTACCATGACTACAATAACACTATCTCTGTAAGAACCTCCAAGTTGAGAAGATCCTGTCATTGACTTCAGTTTTGTACGTTGATACCACTTTATGTATTTGTTGGGGGGGAGTTGATTTTTTTTTTTTTTTTTTTTTTTTTTTTGTTCCATTTTAAGGTCTCTGTATCCATATACACAGAAAGCCATTTTATTCTGGAACCTTAATGGTTTTCTTCCCATAACCATCAGAAGACTTGAGGCCCTGGCAGATTTCTTTTCTCTCCAGAAAAGAGTAGTTTTGATGTTGCATATTACTTCATTATAAAAGATATGAGTTCAGAACTTTGTCAGCATGTTAATTTGAGTAAGGCAATTCTTAAAAACTAAGCCCAAGATAGTGCTTTTCAACCTTTAACCTTCATGGTTTTGAAAGCCCTAAATACAGAATGCACAGGTGGCAACTGCTAATAGAAAACTAGTTTGTGTTTTTTTCCCATAGTAGGAAAAATCAAGGAGCAAATACTGTAAATGGGTATTCCAGTGTAAGTCTACCTGTATTACACAGCCTACCTCCATGTTAAGTGCGGAGACAGTTTGTACTGGCTCTATAGGTTGCCATCTCAGTGTATCGGATGGGATTTTGTGGTGTTTGGGGGAGAGGCCAAGTGAAAGCCTCAGGTTTTTTCATTCTCTACTCTTGCAACAGATCTGTCAGTCTGATGGTGTTTCTACAGTGGTGAAAATGTAACTGTCTACTCAAAAATGAGTGATGGATACATTTTAGAAGAACAGTACTTAGTGCCACACTGCCATTCCATTGCTTTTTGTGTTCTCTGAAGCCTTGTAGACTAGTGGTGATACTGCCAGTATAGCTTTATCTGCTATGTGGTTGTAACTGTCAATCATAATTTAAATGGTTCGTTACAGTACTTTATCCTGTTGTATGTTAAATAGCATTTCATGTCTTGATTTGAAACAATGTTTCTTCACCCATTTTTGTATAGAAATAGAGAGATGAAATACTGTAATTTTTTCCTGTTCTCCTGAGAAGTTTATTGACACCAATTGTATGTGTTCAGCTCATCAGAGAAAAGCTTTTTTTGCTTATACATCAGGTGGTGCTTGAAATGACTGCATGGGAGTTATGGTTCTGGAATCAGTTGGACCTGCCACCCTGCAATTAAGGGAATACTGAATTTTTGCAGTCTCTCTTAAAGAGCGCTGTTTTGTGCTAGAGCAGCTTTCCATTGATTAACATATCTGTGGTGTTCTGGCTGCCCTGCGAGGCAGAGGTTTTGATGAATTACTGGCAGTAGTGTTTAAATTGCATGCACCTGCCTAGGAAGGTGGAGTACAGCATGTGTCACCTGTCTTCAGGACTGCTTGTAATGAGCTGAAGCTGGGGATGAGAGTGACTGCACTGAGTAGAACTGACACTGCTAGAGAAAAAGCTGGAATGATGATACTGGTAAGGTCAATTTTGTGAATTGAGGGATGGTCTGCCATCACCCATAAGAATTTGTAATTTAAGGGTGGTTTTAATGGAGGAGACGGGCAAGCACATCTTTCAGCATCTCTGAATACTTGAGCTGTGCTCTTCACTACTGAGTTACAATCGATCTTGGACAATTAAATTGATGAGCAGAGAAGGTTAAGATTATGTTCTGTTTATTAAGTACATTGCACAGTTCTGCTTGTTTCCTTTAGTTGCTCTGTGTGCCAACTGTCTAAAGCATTTTCACGCATGCTGCTTTTTGCTCTTGCCCTGGCTTTGCTCTAGTCCTGCCTATTCCTTGCCTCATATATTACCTTACAGAACTGTCTCCTGGCTTCCATGTTTCAGCTTGGTTTCTGACTGCAGTCTCATCTTGTCCACCTGTTTGGTATGTTTCTCAGCTTCCCTTTACAGACCTTTGGCCCTGCTCCTAACTATTTCTTGCACAGATCGACTTGGTACAGCCTTTGAATTTTCAGATTCCTGTCTATTTACTGAACATGAAAACATGTGACGAGCGCAAAGATCTGTGTAATCTTCTGCTCTGTTTTCAAAAGTGGTTATGAAAAGAGTATATGGGGAAAGGCAAGTACAGAGCTAGTCTCCCCTTAGTATGTACTTTCAGCTGCTTACTGATGACTGAGGGTTTCAATTTCACTTAAATTGTTGGACTTAGCCACTAAGCACCTGGTAGTTGGTGTCTTGCAGGATCTTAAGTTGCTGTTTCATGTTAAAACAAGACTTCTGTCAGCTTTTTAGTCTGATCCATAAGGAAGTAAGACTTGATATCATCACCTTGTCTATTAGGCTAAGATTTGATGTGATGGGTTGAAACGGCAATGGCTTCACACATATTTGGAAGAAAGCTGATGGTTTAAAAGATATTAAGTTCTTCAAGCTGCATGAAAATAGTGTCTGAACCACATGAAAAGAAATGAACTTACTTTGCAGCCTGTTTTGTATCATACAATTCAACAGGCAGTACAAATCCATAGGAAACCAAACTTTCGGTTGTCTCTCTTCAGAATACCGTAACAGTTTTTCTTTGCACATGGGTGTTGCTGTTTGTGGTATTGTCCATTTGTAATATAACTTGCAATCTGTTATTGTGGAGCTTGGTAGCATTGTAATAGCTTGATTTTGGGAAGGTTGTAACAGTAAAGCTCTCAGGTTAACACTGCTTGCCTGTCCAGTTTTCAGATATGGATTGCATTAGTGGTTAGAAACTAAAAATTGGGAAGTTGTCTGTAGTCTCATGTTTCTGTCATACTGCCCTAAGTGAAATATATCTGCTTGCTTATTTTCATGTGTTATAAAGAAGACCCTGCTTGCAGCATATCCTCGGATAAGAGCCTCAGAGCTCTGGTATTGTCTTGTTCATTCCTTGGCCTGAAGTAACCCGAATTTCATAATTTGGGTCTAATGTGAAAGAAACTTCAGGGTGAAGGCTGAGGATGTCTGAGTCTTTTTTGCTTTCTTTTACTTGATAGTGTTATTTTTACTGCAGAATAGTGATTTGCAGCAGTAGGGGAAACTCAGGACTAGCATCACTAAGAAACAAAACAAACGGAGTAATGAAATGAAGTATGGTTTCTTTTGGATTTTTTTATTGCTTGTTCTGTTGTTTGGATTTTTTTTTTCCTTTTTTGTGTATGGTTGTGTTTTGGTTTGGTTTGTTTTGGTTGTTTCTTTTTTTACCTTCCCTCAGCAGTAACCCCAGCTTGCCCATGAAGATCTTTTCTCCCCTAGTGAGCCTTGTTCTGTGGATATTGTCTTAAGAGCAGGCATGTAGGAAGAAGTGCAAGAGTATGGCCACTTTTCTCTGATATACTCTCTCTTATGCTTTGGCAACTTGTGGGATAGAAGCGATATTTCAGAGGCTGGCTGAATATTTGGGAACTTGCTGCAAGATGTGACGAATTAGTTTCACAGAACCGTACAAGGATTTTGGTGAGCTGCTGACTAAACTGCCAGTGGGGTAACACCAGAACCAGCGGCTTTTGCTCAGTACAGGACTGTAATTCATTACACTGTTTTTTTTCTTCACACTTTTAAGTGCTGGCTGATCCATTAATGCAGCAAGTCCATCCTTGACAAAAGAAGATTATACAACTAGTGTCAGTGAACTTATCTCATGGTGGTTGGAAATATGAAAACTGTATTTTAAATCTGTATTTTAGGCAAATAGAATAGCTAATGATTTAGTGACTCTTGAACCTTCGAATAAGATTACAAGATCCCTTTTAATCATTTTTGTATTTGAAGACAACCTGCTAAATAAAAGCATGAAGTAGTATATTTGAAGATGCTTCTTTTGTAGTGCTTTTTAACGCTGCAGAGGAGTTATATATGCTACTTACTGTTTTGTAAGTGGGTCTCGGTGTCCTTGTGACAGACATGCGTGGGGTGGATATTGAGAATTGGTTTCTGATTCTTGCTCGTGCTCATTTTGTGTCTGGCTATGTATAAGAGGTTTCCCACCAAGCCAGGAAAAGGGTGCCTGAGATCCCATTCATCTAGTATGAGGAACAGGAAAGCAGGTGACAGCTCAGAAAATAAGCATACTTTTTCTTTTGATGATGCTGGTTCCCCAGAAAAGATAACATAATCTGGGTGTGGAATATCTTTGATGGTGTACCTTCAGTGAAGCTGAGCTGTCATAGAAGACAAAATATCTAAAAAGAGTGGCAGTTTGACCTGCAGGATGTCTTTTGGAAGCACTTGCATAGGGAGATTCCTGCTACTTTGCTGGGTTGGGGATGGCTATAGATTTTGTGATTTTTGTGGCAGGAGGAAACAGCCTGTAGTCAGCCACAGTCGCTTTGTTGCAGAAAGCTATGCATAATACGTACAATCATGTTTTGAATTATCTGTGATGTATGTGTATTGGTCTATTAAAAACTGAACAAGTATGAAGTGCCAAAATTGTGAAAATGGAAAGTATTTCAAAATTGTGAAAATGGAAAGTATTTCAAAATTGTGAAAATGGAAAGTATTTCAATGAAACTGCAATAATTCAGCTGAGTATTGAAGTTTGCAATGTAATATAGTAAAGTATTTCAGTACTTGTACCAAAATTTTTGTCTGGAGGACTACTGGAAAGGGGGAATCTTTGTAAACAAAGGGAAATAAAGGCTGGTTTGCTTGTTTTTGTTTTTCTTCTTCAGCTCTAATCAAATACATCCGACCAGTATTTGTATCTCGGTCAGACCAGGATTCTCGCAGGAAAACTGTTGAAGAGATAAAGAGGCGTGCTCAGTCTGGTGGTAAATGGCCACAGGTACTGTATGCTGCTACTGTGGGACAGATGGTATTTGGCATTTCCAGACTTTGGATATGCAGTTTACTTTTTTACTTGTGGGATGCTTTAGTTAGTTTGTAGAGGATGGGATTTCCCATTCTAGAAGATATAATGTAAGATTCTTATCTGTACAAAACAGTAGCTTTTCATTGCAGTGTATTTCAAGGGAAGATCGGCTAAGTACATGGGAAGACAGCTCTATTAAGTGATACTAAATGGACAGACCACAGCATGTTTAGAAAGTCCTCTAAGAAGAAAATAATCAGGAGCTCAGCAGAATACCTGTGGGAGTATTGTGTGTTCTTGCCCTTCTCAAGACTTTAGCATACTGTCAATGTTGGAGACGAGATACTGGCCAGGACAGCCCAAGCAATTCAGATATTCCAATAACCAGAGTACACTTCTATTGGACCACATGATGAAAACATTGCTAAAATAAGTGGCTTGGGGTTTTTGCCACACCTGAAATGTGACTATTTATAATGTGCCTTGGAAGAGAGTAATAGGAAGGAAGGGATGACTACCTAAGGTCTCAATTTTCTAGAAGCATGTGACTGTTTTGAAAATTTGAAGCGTTCTTGTGAATTTTTGTGAATAAGATACAGTATATCTTTCATGGCATTGTTGCTAGTACAGTGGTTACATCCACATAGTGGACTACAAAAACATTATAAACAGTTATAAACAATGTGGCAGAAAGGTGATACATAGCTTTCGCTTCATGACTTTCATCAATAGATTCCAAAGCACTTTAAAAAGTAAATATTCTTGCTTACAGATGAAGAAACTTAGTTGCAGAGCTGAAGTGATTTCCAGAATATGTAGCAAGCTAGTACCAGAGTGGGCAACAAAACTAGTAATGTTAATTCTAGTCCATTCTTTGTCACCTTATGATATGTATTTATTTCCTCTAGATGTCTTGTTCTGTAACTCAACAAAACAGAATATGATATTTTTACCAGCACCAAAATGTTTTGTGAAAATTCTCTTGTACTCACAAGTGTTTCTGGCTGCTGTCAATGTTCCAGTCGAATAGAAGTATTATCGGAGGTCAAGAAAGAGGCAAATTCACAGAGAAATAGAAATATTGTTACTGTTACAACAGAAATTTGACTTCTTTACTGAGCACTATTTTTTTTTTACTCTAACTGAACTATTTTTCCCTGAAAACTTTTTAAATGTAATCAGTTAATGTTAACTTTGAAAAGATGTGTTTATAAATAAATCCACATTGAAATAATTCTGAAAAGTCAACTTTTTCTTTACTTCAAGATAATGATATTCCCAGAGGGCACTTGCACAAACCGATCCTGTCTAATTACATTCAAGCCTGGTAGGTATGATGCTCATTTCTCTGTTCTCTACAGAATGTTCTTGTATCTTCATTTTCTGAAATACCACTTGCATTGTAATTTACTTGCTGTTGCAGAAGGTGAGTTAAAAATCTTGCAGTAGGCTGGATTTGGAATACAAATTTTCTGATGCTACAAGAGGATTGTATTTCCACTGTTGAGTAAAACATTTTATATAATTCAGATTTTTCCTTGGCTTCTGAGATGCATACGAGCTGGAGGACTAACATTGCATACTGGGATTTTGTTTGTGGTTGTGTTTTTTCAATTTTTTTTTTTTCTTGCCCCCTCCATTTCCTATTTTGGGTCTGTCATGCAGCATTTAGATACACGTTAATACCTTAAGCTTTATAGTGTATCTATTTCAGGCTGCTGCAGCATTTGTTGCTGTGTTGTATGTGATTGATTCCTCTCAAACTTTTCTGTGGAGTTGCATTCTGGTGAAGGTGCCACAAGAATCTTGCCAGTATAGCACTGTTACAGAGGCTGTCATTTTTTCCTATTTTTTTATTTGACATATACATTCTAAGCTCTTTTCAGTTAGTATCACACGTTTTAGCTTATCAGATTACTAGAGGCTATGGACACTGCACATTGTTGCAGCCGTAAACCACAGTTACAACAGGGAGAAACGCCAATACTGCAGTGAACCACCGATGTTTAGTGTAAACTTGCCTGTGTGATATGTAGGTAAGGAGATGATGAATGAGGAGGCTGCAGGGAGTGAGGCAGTTGTGAATGTGTTTTTTGACTCTTCCTAGGTTTCTGCCTAGCTCGTGTTCTGGTCTTATTGTGTGTCTTATATTTTGTGTTGCTTACAACTTATGTATCGCTGTTAGAATATCATGCAACGAATCAGCATTCTGATACCTTGCACTGATTCATTTGGCTAAAGGAATCTCAGTATTGTCTCCTGAGCAAATGTTCAAAAAGCTTTTCTTCCTCTCCACTCAGCTGTCACCTTTTTAGATGAATAAGTGGTTGTTAGAACATCCTCTTCTTTTGCTCTTTTCTCTCCCTCTCTCTCCACCTGGATTCTGGCCACGCTTTGAAAACCAGCCTGGATCCTTCATTAAAGCCCTGATTTCCTGCCCTCCCTCTGTGCCATAGACATTTCAGGCATCATATACTTTTTGCCTCAAATCCCCGCTCTATCTTCCTCCCTTCTGGTCTAGTACATGCTGCTCTCTGCCTCTTGACTGTCTCACTTTTCCTGCTGGAACCTGCTTCTGTATCCATCCAGCCTTCTGAGAAATCCTTTGCCTCAAAATTCCTCACTTGTATGAAATTACTCTAGGTCTCTGGAATAGAGACTGCCTTCAGGATGCATTTCCCCATTCTTCTGCTCATGTGGCCTACACTCCTTGTTCGTACTATGCAGTTTTTTGGTTTTGTGTTCATGCAAGCTAGTCATACAGGGCAAGCTAGTCTAGGTGTGTTTAAATGGTTGTTGTCATCTACCACTCAGATTTTGTTGTCTCTGGATTCTTTCAAATTTTCTTAGGCTGTTGTTCTTGGAGACTGAATAGGAAGTGCCACAAGGCCAAGAACCAAATCTCTGCAGCTTCCCATTCGGACAAGCTTTATTTAAAGATGCTTCTACTCCATTAACAATTACTGCTTGTATATCTGAGCAATTATTCTGTAAAGCAAATGTAATGCTAAGAAAACAGTATGCTTCTGTCATTCAGTTCTTAATTTTATTCGAAACACTAGGCAGAACTTAGTAAATTGCTCTGAATAACATAGTTTGAGTGAAGCTGTTTTTATTAATGTTTTTTATGAGAAACAGATGTTTAGAGAAATCTTGAGCAAGATAGTTATAATGCTTACCCAGTCTTTGTGCTAGAAACTAAGAAAATGATCAGCAGATGACGCTTATAGATATTCTGCTACTTATTTATCAGAAATGTAATTTTCCTATGAAATGAAGCAGTGCTTCCGTACCATATCTCTAGTTTGGTACATTCTAACTATTAGATTTTTCCATAGCTATGGAATAGAAGTTACATTAATTCTGTTATTTCAGAGGTGATAAATTTCCTATAAATTGATGTTGCTCAACTAAAAATAGCAAGCTTATTTTGCATAAGAAAGCTTAAGTTCTTCACCAAAAAATACTGTTGACCACAGGGAATATATTGATGTAACTATCTTGTACAGACTTGTACTTTTTTAATTATTTACCAAGCTGAATTTGGTACTGGGTTTTGAATTGTGTACATGACAATTTATGTAAGTGGTAGAGGATAATTTAAAGAATTAAAGAAGCAAGCATTCTTAATTATTTTTCTGCTGAAAAGGTGGATATATATTGTCATGCTCCAGTCCTTGCTTTTTAGATTACTTTTGAGGCTTTCAGATCTTATTTTTCACTATCAGCTAATTTCTGTGCATATCAGCCCATTAATTGTATATTTGTTTTCTTTGCTGCAATAAATTTCTTCTGTACCAAAATGCACTATAAAGTAATTATGTGTCATATGTGCCTTTTAGGAGCATTTATTCCTGGAGTTCCTGTACAGCCAGTGGTTTTACGTTATCCAAACAAACTGGTAAGTTCAGCTTGCAGTGTAGTTGAAAGTATGGGGCATTTTCCTCTAAATACATTGGCGCTTCTGTAGTCTTTTAGGTTAAACAATTGGGTTTAGAAATTTGGAAAGGATTAATAAATGCTTAGTGGCTAAGTATGTATTTCTTAAGCCTCTAGCAATATAAATAGTCTTAACTGAGACAGTTTAAATGTTTCTGCTTTTATTAGGTTACTCCTTTAAAACAGTGCTCTGAAAGCTATTGAGGTTGTTATAAGAAGTACTGTATAAATGACAAGACAAATGTCAATTTCTGTCTAGGATCTGTGTTCCTGCATTCTCCCTCTTACTGCAGTGCATGCTGGAGAGTTTTCTTAATACCATTTATTGCTGGAAGATGCTTCTGCACCTCCTGCCTGTGGGGGTGTTATTAATAAATTAATGCAACTAGCTAAATGATAATAGAATAATGTGTAGAGGACCTCGACACCTTTATAAGGCGTCTTGTTGTCTGTATTTTACATTCATTGTGCACTTGGCTAAGGAAACTTAGCTAGTTTGGAGTAGTCCTTCAATATAAATCAGATTCAGGTAAAGTGCGAATTATAGTGTTTATTTACAGTATCTAAATGAAACAATTTTTGCATATGCTTGTAAAGATACAGGCAAACAAATTAAGACAAATTAAGACAATTAAGACACTTCATCAACTTAAAGATCAAGCCTACAGCAAAGCAGAGAAGGGGGATTTATCTTTTTATTATTATTATTCAGTTTACCTGACTGGATACTTTCCTGTCCTACTACAGCCAGGATCCTGTTTGTCTGCATTCCTCAGTTAATTGGAAGATGCTTCCTAGTGCACTTTGCTAGCTTTTATACTTCAAGTTTCTTTTTGAGCCCTCTGGAGCCATTTTCAGATCCAGTCTGTCCCCTTCTAAAATAGAAGTTTTTTAGGGGAGGTGGGAGGAATGTCAGAAGTAAAATAAGGACTACCTTGCCTCTTTGTTGATGCATGTCACATCAGAAGATCTCATGTTGTCTCTTTGACTAGCCCGTTAACAACTCCTTGACTTAAGGAAGGATTTCACTTCCTCTTGGTACCTGAGTGCTTATGTTTTATAAGTGTTTCCATCCATTGTTCTTCCTATTAATTTACAGGGTGATATAAAACATATGCTTGATTATTAAAGAAAAACCTAAGCAAAGTTAATATACATAGAGCACCATTTGCTTGACTGATACAAGGTGTGATGGCAGTCAACTGGTTTGCAGTAATAAACCGAAAAATTACCTTGCGGATGCTGTGACAAGTGTAGTAGGCTGTTATGCTCACATAGTATTAAGTGCATTGTAGCAGGCTGCCTGGGCCTTTTCATTATGCAATTGTTTCATTTTCAGGAAGAAAGATTATTTTCTAAAAATATTTTTAAACTTTTATTGCACTGCCAGTTTCAATTGCAAATATGCACATGCCTTACGTCATACTTACTATACTTTGTTACTTTTGGTTAATATTAAAGTTATTTATAACATAAAGCTATCATATGTTAATTTGCAAATATTTTTAAAAATCTATTTTCATACTGGAATCACAGAATCACAGAATCACAGAATAGTAGGGGTTGGAAGGGACCTCTGTGGGTCATCTAGTCCAACCCCCCCGCCCATTGCCCCTTGTCCTGTCACTGGGCACCACTGAAAAGAGCTTGGCCCCATCCTCCTGACACCCACCCTTCAGATATTTGTAGGCATTTATAAGGTCCCCTCGCAGCCTTCTCTTCTTCAGGCTGAACAAGCCCAGTTCCCTCAACCTCTCCTCGTAGTGGAGATGCTCCAGTCCCCTCACCATCCTTGTAGCCCTCCGCTGGACTCTCTCCAGTAGCTCTTCATCTTTCTTGAACTGGGGAGCCCAGAACTGGACACAGTACTCCAGCTGAGGCCTCACTAGGGCAGTGTAGAGGGGAAGGAGAACCTCCCTCGTCCTGCTGGCCACACTCTTCTTGATGCACCCCAGGATCCCATTGGCTTTCTTGGCAGCCAGGGCCCACTGCTGGCTCATGGTTAACCTGTCGTCCACCAGGACACCCAGGTCCCTCTCTGCTCTCCAGCAGGTCCACCCCAAGCCTGTACTGGTGCATGAGGTTGTTCCTCCCCAGGTGCAGGACCCTGCACTTGCCCTTGTTGAACCTCATCAGGTTCCTCTCTGCCCAGCTTTCCAGCCTATCCAGGTCACGCTGAATGGCAGCACAGCCTTCTGGTGTATCTACCACACCTCCCAGTTTGGTGTCGTCAGCAAACTTGCTGAGGGTACATTCTAACTCTTCATCCAGGTCGTTGATGAAGAAGTTAAACAAGACTGGGCCCAGTACTGACCCCTGAGGGACACCACTTGTCACCAGCCTCCAACTAGACTCAGCGCCGCTGATGACAACCCTCTGAGTTCTGCCATTCAGCCAGTTCTCTATCCACTCTACCGACCACTCATCTAGCCCACACTTCCTCAGCTTCCCCAGGAGGATATCATGGGAGACTGTGTCGAAAGCCTTGCTGAAGTCAAGGTAGATAACATCCACAGCTCTCCCTTCGTGTACCCAGCCAGTCATGTCATCGTAGAAAGCTATCAGATTGGTCAGGCATGATTTCCCCTTGGTGAATCCATGCTGACTACTCCTGATAACCTTCTTTTCTTCCACTTGCTTCATGATGGCCTCCAGGGTAAGCTGCTCCATCACCTTTCCCGGGATGGAGGTGAGGCTGACCGGCCTGTAGTTCCCTGGGTCCTCCTTCTTGCCCTTTTTGAAGATTGGAGTGACATTGGCCTTTCTCCAGTCCTCGGGCACCTCTCCTGTCTTCCAGGACCTCTCAAAGATGATGGAGAGTGGCTCAGCAATGACATCCGCCAGCTTATGTCCTTATTGCTTGTAGTACATAATAAGCAATGTTTGTAAACTAATATTAAATATTCCTAATACTGTATTAACAGAAATTGTGAGCTTTTTACATGGAAGTAAATCAATATAAATTTTAATGAAAATATTCATAATTTTATTGTATTACTGCAAAATGACATAAAATGCTTTATTTATACAGACATCCATCAGTGTTGGCCTGAGTCCATGTATGGAGCTTCACTTTTTCCTACTACTTTTAGTTGCTGTAAAACACTTAGTTTTCAGTGCCTTACTGAGTCATTTAACCTCCTAAGGTCTACTTGCACTAAGCGTTAGTGGTGGGGGAGAGGGGGATAATTGCTATTACTGTGTGATTTTTAGGTTAGCTTGGGGGCTGTAGAAGAGTTGCAGCAAAGTCAGAATGAGGAGAGGAAGTAAGAGTATGATGTGATACATGAAGGTGGGGTTTGTTTTGGTTAGGATGCAGTCAAGAGGTAGCAAGTAAGAACAACAGAGTAGGGAGAGAACATTGTTTTTCATACGCTAAGACAGCATTTCTAGCAAGCTTTGTCTCAGGCTTCCTGTTTGTTGTCTTGTTTGACCGCTGCATATTATGATTTTAGGTTTGGAAAGCAATTGCTTATTAAGATCTTTGCTTAGTCAGTGAATTTCAGATATGCATTGTATGCAGTTACCCCACTGCTTTTAGCTTGAACTATCTGCTCTGATCTACCTTCAGAGCTCAGTTCCGCAGTACAGATGAAAATAGTCTTAGGCTTGAGTGCATCTGACTGTTTTGGGAGGCTTTTTGAGATCAGAGCCTGGAGTGAATGTAGCTGTGTGCACTCTTACACGTTTCTTTCCTTGTACTCTTCCAGAACTAGGTAAAGTACTACTGTTCTGCAGTGGACTGAAACGTGTGTCAAAAGTGATGATGTAAATTCAGTTCTTTTCTAGCAAATAAACCTAGTACTGATTGCCATGAAGAACTCTTTCTAGTCATGGTCACCCCCGAATGTCTTTCTTCTTCGGGGCTTGTGATTGTTCGCAGTAGATGGTGCCCCTGGCCCTATCAGTGTTTGTTTAGGAATGGTATGTTAGTATGATGCGTGAGCAGAAAGAAGTTATAAGGCTTAAAATGTTGTTTAGACCTGAATTTCAAAGTTTTCTTCTTTTTATCTAGTTTGGTTAAAATAAATGCTCTAATGTCTCCATCCAGAGGTTTTACAGTAATACTTTTTGCAATTTGTTTCTATACTGATTTTCTTCCTGTATACAGCTTTTCCTTCTTTTGAATTTTCTGTCAGAGTGCTGGTAGTCATGAAAGGCTAGATACCTGTTTAAGTATCACAGAGACATTTAAACGGTATTTTTATGTCCAAGTGTCTTCTATAGCAATTCGATAAGAGGTTTGGCAGCATCTTTTGTGCAGCTTTGGTGTATCTGGGTTAACTGAGCGTGTAAAAACACAGCCAGTCTGCTGTTTGGAGTTTGGCATGATTCTCAGTGTCTTGTGTGAAATGCAAATTATATGGAAGATGTACGTCCGCACAATTCAAAGGCTTCATTATCTAGATACAAAAGTTTCAAAGTGTACTTAGAATGCTGTCAAAGTGAATGTTGTCCATAAGGATAGGCTGGTAGCTGTGATAGATACAAGAAGTATCTAAACTAGGTATGGAAAATACCACTTCCCATCTTCTGCTTGCTGTTTTCATCATAAAAATATAGGATATGCTGGCAGGAGTCTCCTACGAAATAGGCCTGCCTCTTGCAGATCAGAATCTTGTTTTCCATTACGTAGCATTTATAGCTGTCATCCCTGCTGCATCCTGATGTTCTCAATGAGAAGAAGCATTCATGTCTGCTGTGATATTCACATTGGGAATTTCTCGCAGGGTTGTTGATAGATACATGGCTTATTTGAGTTTGTCTTTCCAGCTAGCCAGCACAATGGCTGGATTCTGAAAATACCTTCTTTGCTGTTCAGTGATTCATTGCCCAGGCAAGGTACCTTTGCAGAGCTCACTTTTTTCTTTGTCTCCTTCTGCACTGTTGCAATTTAGAGAGTTGAGTTGGATATGTGTAGTGCTGTGTCGTTGTTCTATATGGCAGATCTAGTCTATGATTAGAGAAATTATCAGCTATCTACACTGCAGTGGTCAGGGTTTGTAAATGAAAGTTCACTGTGGAAAAAACAAACCTGTTAACATGTTTACCTGCAGTATGATAAGAGACATCAAAACTGCCAGAAACAGTTTAACAGTAAAATGAGACATTAAAGTTCTACCAGATTGCTGCATAGAAAAGTCTGTTTTCATGCACGTATGTTTGCTAGTGATGGAATTGTTCTGTATCATATTTTGTTTGATTTTAAAATAATTGTTGAAAGTCAAGATTTAAATTTTTAGTAGTCCTTCATGATATATTGACCTCACTCCAACCTGTTGATCTATCGCATTAGTCAGATTTCACCTTTTATGGATGTGTTGCTATCTTTTCGTTTTTACTTGTGACAGCCTTTTGCTCTAAATGGTAATTAAAACACGAGTTTGACTTGATTTTTTTCAAGATCATGGCATGTGATTGCCTAAACTCTCTTAAGATGGTTTTGGATGGTAGCATGGAACTGAACTGGAACATTTTCAGTAGGTTGATAGAAGTATCTTTCTGATCTGGTCTGAATTTACTGAGTCCTCTTGTCTTTCCATTAATGACTTGTACTTCTTTTTTTCGCAGTTGGTCAGAACAATAGCTTCTAACTTATTTTCAGGTTTTTGGATTCTTACTTCTACACTTAAATCTAGTCTCAAAGTATTGCAGTTTTTTCCTACACTGTTACTTAGTCTTACTGTTAAAAATGTCATTACCTGTACTGTCATATTTCTTCTTGTCGCCTGTTATATACCTCTTTCCAGTCTCTGTTCCCTTTTTGCTATTTGCATCTTGTTCACTTCTTTCATTGCTATTTGTGAATCCTTTCTTAGTGTTTTACACACTGTTCTACTTGGCCATCTAAAAGTGCTGCTGGTCTTGCCCGAGAGTAAGTTGGTGGATTTAGATGTCTTATAATGTAGCATTTGATTCTTGGATCAGGCAGGTGGAGGTATGCTGTCTGTGACTAAAGGCAACTGGAAAAATACTGGTTTGACGTAAGACATGAGGTCTTACTTGTTCTACTGCTTTGTGTCAGTTGAGCAGACTTCCCTTCAGTCATCTCCACAGGTCCCAAACGCTTCAGAGGTGTTACAGAGTGTTTGGATCTGTTGCTGGGAGGTCCAGGTAAAGTGTAGGGACACTTGAGGAACACCTTGTCAAGCAGGATGGGTTGGGAAAATACACATGGACTACGCATACCAAGAAACATCATCTGACAGTAAATAATTTAATTTTCCAAGGCTGACAGCATTTGAAGAATCCCTGGATTTTTAAATTTTTTATGAATGTAGTTATTCTGCGTTTAAGAGCTGGGTTACTGGGAATTTCCTAGCTACGTAAAAGGTAGGCTGATTCGTACTGGGGCTAAGAACTTTTGCAAAGAAGACATTGAAGTTTCCATGAAAACCTTTTAGTCATATGTCATTAGTTATACTATCTATAAAGTAACAGAAGTTTAAAGTACAATAATTTATTGCAACTGTCATGTTTCTTTTCTTAGGATACAATCACATGGACATGGCAAGGGCCAGGAGCGTAAGTGGTTTATGTTTTATTGCTTATATCAGGATTGCTTTCCTTCATTAGTTTTTGTTTACGTGCCTTACAGGCATATATAGTCAAGTAGTAATTGCTGGTTATTGGAGTGTTCTTTGGGATTAATTTTTGTCTTTTATCTTTTATTGTTTAATTACAATAACATTCAGTTAGAGGAATCCAGGTATAAACAGTGTAATTCTACTGCTATGATTTTGGCGATTTGCAGGATGGATTTTAGAGTGTTTATTTCAAAATTTTTTTTACTTTTTTTAGCAAAGTACCTGAAGTAAAACAACTTGCTTCTGCTCTGTTTATTTTATTGCCTGCAAATCGATTTGGTATGTTTCTGTACAAAATCTGCATGGCTATTGTTTGAAATTGGTGTAGTCCCACAGAAACAGTCAGCTCAGGGAATCTGGAGATACTGTTTTGATTATCTTGCCAAAATGTAACTGATTTTTTTTTTTTTTTTCAAATAACCAAAATGTTATTCTAGAGGTCCCTTAGCAAATTCATGTAATGTAAAATGCTAAGTGAAGCAGTTCTTGCTTGTTTTTAAAAAATATATTTTAGTATTATTTTGACGTTGGGTGTAGAGTAGTTCTGAAACGTTTAGATGAAGAACAAAACAAGAAATTTTGAACCCTGAGTAAAGGGGAGTTAGATTCTATAGTTAATGGCTTGCTGTTAGCCTCTTCGTTGGGAAGTACTGTTTTGAACGTCCCACCTGATATCCTATATTTCAGTAGTAATGAGGAAACAATGGGGACTAGCCAAGACTCAAGTAACTTAGAATTTTGTCCATTAATTTTATACTTTCAAACCAACTGGGAACCAGGTCTAATTAAGGACACATCTACATTTGGAGACTTGAGGAAATCATTGATCACTTCTAAAGGTTCAGCTTACAGTTAAATAGTCATGTTGAAAGTAGATGAATCCATGATAGTGTCTAAAGTAGGTATGTACTGCAGCATTTACTGCATGCAGGGATTTCTGTTCTCTTCTTGTGAGTTCCTGCCTCTTCCCTTGCATTTGCACTGCAGTTTATCTAGCAAATTAACTCAGCTGGAGGGGAGAAAGGTGAGTAGCTTGCTTCCAGCTTAGTGTCCTACCTGAGGAGTCAAGAACACATAGGAGGAAGAAGAAGAGGGAAGGTACTTGTAGGTGTGTTGCCTCAGATCCCTTTAATGTGTACAAAACTCTTATTCAGAAATGCTGACCTCTGCTAATAAAGTTAAATTAAAGCTGAATCAGAATCTGAGGCAGCATGTGATGTTATGCAAATTCATTGGGGATGTTTAAATTACAGCTTTACTTAATTAGGGTTAATTCTCCCGAGTGACCAAAAATGTATTTCTGATGTCTTTGCAGAAAATACTTTTAAGACTGATACAGTCCTCACTGTCTCAGCAAATGTCTCTCTTCTGTCACAGTGTTAGTCAAAACTTAATCTGGAAATGTTGATGTATCCGGGAGTATTCTGTTTGCTCAGAGTTGGTGTAGCCTATAAAATGGATTGAAAACTTGTCTCATGGAAACTATACACTTTCATCCACTTAGGGAGAGTAATGTTTTTACTAGTTTGGTGGTAGTCAGAGCAGATCAACTGACTCTACCTTGAAAACAAAGATTGACTGTAGCATACAAACTAAATTCTCTACATTGAGCTTGAATTAGATATGGATTCTATCATTTTTTTTTAATTTGATACTTATAATTTAAGGTTTAATCTTTGAGGATTACAGTGAGAAAAGTTTACTTGTAACTTACTGGAGTTTTTAATGCTCTTGGACAAGGAGCTAGAAACCAGACTTTCACATTTACTGTCAGTGACGTAAACTTCACATCGCAAGTTCCATTGTTGTTCTTGCTCCTTTGCTTTGCTTGAATGTGTTGGAAGCTCAGCAGCAAAGAAGGGGAAAAAAATGTGTTGTCAGCCCTGAATGAGTGTATAGCCAAATGAGTAGGGTGTTGCTTTGTAGGAACTGCACTTTATCTACCTAAGAGGATTGTGACCAGCCCCTCCCCTCACAGTGACTGACTGCTGTAACTACTGAGATGCTGTATAAAATGTGGCTACTAATGCTGCTTCCTAATTTAGGTTTACTAAATCCTTTCCTGGGTTTGAATCTTACTGCTTTCTAAGGTCAAATTGATTCCAGTTATCTTGTGTCTTAGACTTCTAAAACACATGTACTGCATTTCATTAACAGACTTCTGAACTATAATGAACTTTGATTCCAAACCAAGGTAACGGTAAAATCTTAGTGGTTATAATTAATCTTGCCAACTTTATGCTGAATACAGCATTGTCCTGAAATGGACTTACTCTTTCTTTACATGCTATGCATATATCATATTTTACTGCATGCATTAGTACCTATATATCATATTACTGTTTGTCTTCCTGCTTTTGGGTATCTTTTAAGATGCAGTTTTAGTGCAAAATGCTTTTGTTGCACCTTACAGAATGTAATGTATAGTAGTACTTTCAAAGACCTTTTCTATTATTTTTGTTAGCTGAATATGATCATAGCTACAAGTAGAAATGTTACTTGAAGACTTTGGAGCATAATGTACTACTGTTTCACTACATGTAATTTTTTTCCTCCATCCTTTTCCTTCCCCCTCTCCCCCCTTTTAGGTTAGAAATTCTGTGGCTTACTTTGTGTCAGTTTCACAATTCTGTGGAAATTGAGGTCAGTAAAAACAACCCCAGTGCATTCTGAGCAGTATCAGAATACATAATATTGTACTTAATTCTGCAGTAAACATTTGTATTCAAACTTTGTATGTATGTCTGTAAAAACAGGTTAAAATATGATTTATATTGATGTATGTGTATAATACGTACATTTCTGTATCTGAAAATGTAGCCTAAAAATGGAATAACAAAACACTTGGCTTAAGACTTTAGTTTCTTATTCATTTAAATGGAGTATATGGATTTTTTACTCTGTTTAAAGAGTTTTTTGTGAACAAATTTCTTGGCTTTTAATGGCCTGATTGCTATTCCAGCTAGCATATCAACTGTGTGTGTTAGATATCCAAGTGTATGAATGCTGATGTACAAACGAAGGAATATCTTCTAGAGAAAAATCATTGTAGGTGGTTTCTTACAGGCCAGATATGTTATTTAATATGTCTGGCTATTTTTTTGATTAGGCTGCACTGTTCAGAATGTGAAATTGGAAAACACAAAGAAAATTTATGTATATTCTTAACTTTGTTTTGAGGATAACACTATGTGATCCTAAGGCTGAAGACTGTTGTAGTGAAAATGCAAAAACAATTAAAACATTTCCTTTTAAATTGCTGTCCTTATGCATTTTACATAGAGTAATTACATTTTTGTGGAGAAGTATGGTATTTTAAAGGTGTTATATAGGAAATTTGACAGATGTTCTGCAATTCTTTTGCTTACATTTTTTAATAATGAAGCAACTATTTATCTCTGACTGATGGAACTAATCACAGAGTAAATTAGTAGGAAGACCTGTTGCGTATTTACATACACATATGTGTTAACTATTGTAACATAAATACTGTGATTAGCATATGTTCTATCATGGCTATGCTCTGTTTATTTATGCTATTCTTCTCAAAAATCATGAATGCACAGCATACCAGCCACAGAACCGTTGTATCTACTACAGAAGTTTGTGGTTTGGGTGATCACTTTAGTTACACGTTTGTGTCTATTAACAGTATATATATATAAAAATATTTCCAAAATAGTGGCCTGATTTTGGTAGCAGGGCCAAGGAGTGACTGCTTCATGCAGCTGACTGGCAGGATTTTTACTCTATCTCAGGAACATGGTTTTCTGCCCTAGGTAAGTAAAATGGGTTCTTTCACACAGAAGTGAACACTGCTGAGCTTTCTTGATTTTTGAGGCAGCAGCTGCTAGCAGATGCTGGGTTTCTGTAGCACATACAGAACTTGCACAAGGACAAGTTATAATCTCTGGTCTTTTTTTTTAAAGAAGCTAGTGACTTTCTGAAATACTCTACTATAAGCAGCAGCTGGCAGAGGGTAGAAGAGCAGAGCTGTTTGCAAGGCTGCTTGCAAGTATGAGGCAGAGCATTTAAGAGATACTTGTTGAATCTGTTTTTGTAAGGAAGTGCTGCAGATTTAGGAACACAGAGGAAAAATGAGTTGTTCTATGTTCAAAGTCATGTTTTTCCCCTGGTCTCCAGAGTTTGTTGGCTTTTATTCCTTTTTTGTTCCATCAGCACGAGGATACTGGCAAATACCAACTAACCTTGATACTAGAATTACTGCTGAAGATCCAATAACTCAGGGAGATGTACAGCAAAACAATGCAACTTCAGTACGTTTCTGATTAAATGGTAGCTCATAAGGTCTAACAGCCAGCAATCAGGATCCAGAGTTTGTTAGTCTGGGCTTCTCTGCATATAATGCATGTTCTGGCATACCATACATGTTGTCCAGCATGCATATTGAGAAGCAACCATCTACGTAGATTTTATAATGGGTTGCTATAAATATTGGCCCATATATCCATCCTGTACTTGGAACTGATGTGCAAGCAATCTTGTGAAGAAGAAAGGGTATGTGATCACCTGCACATGTAGCTTGTTTTGGCTCATGTCGTCATGTCGATGTCGTCATGTCGATGTCGTCATGTCGATTATGCTATTTCTGTCCAGTTCGGCACAGACATGTAGAACACCTCTGAAATTGCCTCATATTCAAACGTGTCGTGTGTTTGGATGAATGGCTTGATAGCAATTTGCAATGCAAATTAAAAGAAATAGAACTGGGCTTGGAACTTGAAGGAATAGTCTTTCTGTCCGTTAGCTGCACAGTCTTTGTCGTTTTGTTTGTTATATCGCATCAGGCTGGCATACCTGCCTGTAAACCTAGAAGACGGCAGTCATACATTTTCGATTGCAGTGGTGCATATAGGGAGAACTGCAGCAAAACACAAAATAAATTAAAGATTTGTCCGTCACTGAAAACTTCTAAGAAACAGACAGACATCACAAGGCAGCATTTTGGGTACTGCTGATCATATCATTGTGTGATTCTGAAAATGCAGCTAACTGCATAGTTATTGAGAATTATTTGTTTAATTGATAAACTTTGTATTTATTCCCTAATTCTTATTTTCTTCTTTAGACCAGTGTGAAATTTCTGGATCATAATTCCCATTTTGTGTTACCGATAGATAATTATATGAAATATAACTAAGCTTATTACAAATTTGGCTTCTACTTCAGAAGCTTTCCACAGGATTACAAACATTTTTTTCATTTAGTGCATAAACTATCTCACTGCATTGCAGTACTAAGGGAATTGTCTGTCTGGTCCTGAGCAGGCATGGGAGTCTGAGTGATCCCCTCTTGTTCCTTCTGTCTGTGAAGTTAGTTACATGGCAGAAATGGGATGTTTTGAGGGTTTTTATGGGTGAGACTGACTATGCTCTTGGGGCTTACGTCATATTTCAAAGAACATTTAAAACCACAGCCAAAATCTGGAAGGTCTTTTAGTATAGGCCATCTCATTCTGAAAGCTGCCTTTGCTGTTGCAGGTCTCTAGCAGTGCTGGTTTAATTTTCCTCTTCCATCCTCAACTGTTCTGTGATTCTGTGGCCATATGCATTTATTTAAAATTTTCTGTCAATTGAGTATTAATATCCAGTGTCCAATGTGAAGGAGAAATTTTTCAAAACCTCTAACAGAAGATAAAACATTTCTGATGTGTACATTAGGCAGTCACATATGATGTCAAAATGTGCAAGGGGAACAGTAAATACCTGATGTCCTGAGAGTTTTAATTCTTAATATTTAAGCTATAGAACAATGTTCATGTAGCAGGTGCTTTTCTTGGTTATCTGCAAAGAGCTGAACAATACAGGATGTAAGAGAAAAATTTGTGCAAGAAAATGCTAATACTTTTAAATTATTTAAAAATTACTGGTTCCACTTACAAAAGGAAGATAAAACTCTACACTCCATGAGGTGAAAAAATGAGCAGAGTCACTGTTATATGAGTTTCTAGAAATATGATGCATCCTTAAGCATTTAAGTGTTCAATTTTTACTTTTTTTATAGTCCTTTTGTTAATATAATTTTGTAAGTAGCAACAGGCTTTATACATCTTTCACCATAGTGCTATAATAGACATTGTTTAAAATGTTAAATATTCTTGGTATAATTCAGTTCTCTGTGTGCAGTTTCTACCCGTGTATATTCCTTCAGAAGAAGAAAGAAAAAATCCAGTGTTATATGCCAATAATGTCAGACGTGTAATGGCAGAGTAAGTATGTTGTAATATGGAATAAAAATGTGTGATTTTAATTTTAGGATCAAGAAAATGTCATGAAATCAAGTTAATGTAGTTGCCTGCTTGCAAAAAAACTTGTAGTCTCCAGTAGTGTGTACAAAATGTTTTATACAGAAGTTGCCTTCCTCTATGAGAAGGCCAGAAGGCCACAAATACAGCAGGAACTGTAGGAGTTCCTTAGTTTTTTAATGTCTCTTCATATAACAAGCCAGTTCTGGTTCCTGCTGTGAATATTTAGTCCTCTGGGGAGAAAGGTACAGTTGAATTGTATGAAAGTTAATGTAACTGAATTTTGTGCTATTGAGGTTGCATTTTAAGCTATGATTTTTTTAATGAGGTTCAGAATAGTTTCATGTACTCATTGTTAGCCTGTGGTTATTTCAAGCGGTAAAGCACAGGAAGGCTGCTTGTGTTGGAAACGGAGCACTGAAACAATGCAAACAACTAATTGAAGTTGCATGTTAATGTGAGAACGCTTAACAACACTTGTCTATAGCATATAGTAAAGCTAATATTGAATATGCAGACCTTGATTTTCTTTTGTTGCATTTGAAATTAACCTCTTGTTCATTCATTTTTGGTCCTTTAAGTAAGTCTTCCATTAGCCAGTAGATGTTCTTTTCAGTATTTAGAGAACCCTCAGGTCTGTGATCATTAGTAACTTGAAGGATTTATGAATCTTTCTACTCCTAATTCTGAAAGAAACTTATGAAATCTTAAGTACTGTTTAGGGTATAGAAATACTACCTTAAAGAAAAAGTAGGTAACTCTTCCACTCTCACTTTGGAAAATAAAATTTGTTAGTTTGCTACTTTACTATCTATTAGGGCTCAAATATATATAAAAGGAGTATGTCACTAGCTCAGCTTCTAGTTAGTTGCATGTACTTAGCACTATTCATTTTGTATGCAAACAAGCCAATGGTAGTGCAAGCAGCGAATTGTGAAAATCTGCACTGCAGGCTTTTTGTGCAAGTCGACAGTAACCTCACCCATAATTACAGATGTAAGCTGGTTAGGTAATTATACATAGACCTGTTGGACAGTTATTAACATAAAACACAATTTGTTTCGCTTTAGTTTGTTACTTTCTCTTACAGAGACTATCTTCATTAAAGTGCAGAGTGTTAGACGTGGAACTTGAAAACATCTGTCTTCCTTACCTTTTCTCTGTCAAGTCCTTGCCAGGATCACTTTCCCCTTCTTGGAGCATGTCATACTGTTAAAGCAGTAACTCTTATCAGCTTGACATACGAAGATTATGGTTTTGCTTTTGAGAAATGAATCCTTTTTTCCAGCATGCTGGTGAAGGCAAAAGATATTACAGATAGTCTTCCGTGTCCTTTTCACCTTTTGTCATCTTCTACATAGTCAGAGTTTTTCTTGCAGGCTTTGACGGTATCAGAATGTGATCTCTGCCACTGTGTGTGATATGGTAATGCTAGTTGCTGAAAAATAGCCTTGAGGATGTGGGTTTACAGTAGCTTACTGGCCTATCTCATGGCTATTTGTTTTATTTCCAGTGGCCAGTTAAATCTAACTTTAGAAAAACCGCTCTGCTCTGTGCCTGTGCTGTCTGAAGTTTTGTATGTGATTCTGTAGAAGCGCTGGTTGGATGCTCAGCACTCAGCTTTGAAATACAAGACTTTTTTTTGGTCATGTTTTACCATTGAGGGCATGAGGATAGTATAAGTGGAATTACCAAAGTGCTGTAGTTAACAAGCATCCATTTGTTTAGGTTTCAGGCCATATACAAAAATGGAGGTTAGAACTACATTGTGCACTTTGTTTATTTCTGTGAATGGTGTAAGTGTGGCAATTAGGCAAACGTAGTTACTGAACAGGGTTAACTCTTTGCAGCTGCTTGCTAAGTGTATTTTCTCAAGGAAGAAATAAATTTTTCATAGTTAAGTAGTATTTTGCAACAGTCTGGTTTGAACTAGACTTTTGAATGCTGGCAACGCAAAGAGAACCTGCTTCATTTTTCACCCCTTGAAGATTCATGATGTACAAGCCTACAAGACCAGCAATTACAGGACCCATTTTCTTAACACAAGGGATAAATGCAGCACTTAACAGCTTCTTTTTCTGTCAAAAATTAAACCATCATGAGATACTATATTCTTGATGTGAACTCCAGACTCTTATAACTGGACCTTTAGTTGCTTGGAGAAAGTCATAAAGTAGTAGTCGTCCAAGGAGGGAAAATGGACTGTCTACCTTGTCCTTCCAAAACTAAATAGATGAAAACTCTCCAGTGGAGAGTTGTTTTGAAGGTCAGTAAAATCATGAGTTTTCTGGAAATGCATAGTAAGGAAAGTCTGTTACTTTCCATAGCAGAAGAGATAGAAAGCACTCTACAGTAGATCAGCTGAAAGTAGATGGACATACTTTTTAAAACATGTACAAAATTGTGGCACTAACTACCAGATCCATAAAATGATTTCATCAGAGCTGAGATATACTGTAAGAAGTTTGGTCTGGCAATGATTCTAAAACACAGTGGTACAAATAGTCTCTGGTTCAGGAAGTTCCTGTACAGATGACTAGTAGAAGATGGGGTTATTCGTCCACTGTTTTGTATGTTTCTTTCCTAAATATCTGATAGCGAAGTAAAACACCAAATTTTATATCCTTTTAATGTTTTCAGCACCCCATAAAGATTGTAGCCAATTTAAAGGAGTTTTTTTGAGCAGGCTGTGAAATACTTTCTAGATTAGTTCATAGTTCTGCTTATTAACAATGTAAAACATTTTGGAAATGTTTTTGTTGAAGCATAGATTCAGAATGCCACAATATTGCCTGTACTATTTTCTCTCATTTGGCATAATATTACAGCAGTCACGTTCTGTTTTATGTTCAGAATTTTGCATGCGTAGTGGATTGGTATGCGGAAAATGAGAAAGTTGATAATTTATTTTTATATTATGACTGCACAAGTGTTAGACATAGCGAGCTGTTTGGTGTAAGAAGTCAGAATATAACAAATTTCAACTGTTGTAACAGATTGGATTTGCAGGAAAGCTTTTGGATTTTTGTTTGGGTTTGGTTTGGGCGTTTTGTTGTTTTGTTTTAAGTGACTTGCTGCCTCTGTAATTTCATGTAGTGTGATATCATGAAAGGTGAATAGCCAGCACTTCAGGAAAGATAGGGAGGGGAAAAGTTTCAAGGTATGTCGAGCCAGAGATGCACATCTGGCTATATAAAATTGCTGAACATTCAAAAGGCCGGGCTTGGGTTAACCGGCTGCAAAAGCAGAGGTGGTATGAAGAAAAGGTGGGGGGGGATGCTTCCAACTGAAGGTATGGGAAAAGCTGTTATATTCCTAGTTTATTAAAAACATTGGGTGGCACATGCAATTTGCATTTCAAATGATTTTTTTTTTTCTCTAGAAGTTGAATTGAAGTAGAGAGAAATTGCCCTGGGGATAGGTTGGAACAGTTAGGTAACTGGTTCTGTAGAAAATCCTGCGAGTTGCAGTTACACCCAGGCTTTACAGCGAACTCTAGTTTGACGGTCTTTATTCTAAGAAACTGAAAAATTCAGAAGTCTTAGCACAAATAATGGACTGTATATGTTCCCCAGCTTCAATTGTTTTCAGCATTCTGAGCTGAAATCAAGATCCTTTTGTGTTAAACTGCTAGTCCTATACAGCTTATGATTTATCGTCTGAACTCGAGCCCCTTGGACTCTTGTTTGTTTGGCCTTGACTGATCCTAGGACTGAACTTTACTGTGAGCAAAAGCCGTTTCTTCCCCTGCTTTACTTCTGATCTTTGTAATTCTGAAAGTTTGGGTGTATATATAAACACACTGTTTCAGTTCATTTTGCTTTTTTTTTTTTTTGAAAGTCTAAAGGCTGGAAAATTGCCACCAGGTGAGCAAGAAAAGATGCTTCTATCCTTCAGTCCTGTTTTGTGTATGTGTTAACACTGGGCATACATGTAGGCATTAACTGTAGTGGAAATTTTCCTGTACTGATAGCACTAGAAGTCTGGCCCAAACACTGCTCCTTCTGTAAGGGGTGCACACAGCTAGAAAAAGAGGCTGGTTATATTTTCCACTTACGGTTTTAGGTGAGTCTGAGATGATCCCTCCTTTTGTTTGGAACTTGTTCTGTATTGTAAGTTTGGTTTTGGTTGTTTGTTGTTTTGGTTTTTTGTCTTCATGGGGTTTTTTTTGCTTTAATTCCTCTTGGGCTAGGTTCCTTCAAGCATGTTTGGGGACCATTATTTAGAAGTTACTTAAATCTGGCATTGGTTCTGGGATGGCAGTCAGTCAGGCTTCTGCCCTCCACCCAGGTTGAGAGGCCTGATCTTCCTTAGTCATTTTCCTTTTGATGTGTTTGAAAAGTTTCTAGCTTTTAGTTTTAACAAGTTACTGCTTCATGCTTTGGCTTGCCACCTTATGGTTATGTTTTAACTTGTCCTTCTTCTCAGTTTTCCTTAAGAGAACATAGGGGTTTTTTTAGAAAAAGAGTCTTTTTATTCTAATTGCCACCTTTAATCGGTTGCTAAGTCATACAGGGGTTTTTTTGTGCTTTCAGAATATTTTTTTGGTAAGTGTCTTGTCACTTCCCCTGATTCCCTAATATGGTGTGTTGTTTAGTACCACAAATGAACCATTTACGCTTTCAGTTTCTTCTTCTACCTTATTTTAATCAGCTTCTCATTTTCTGTGTAGTTACCCTATACTTCAGCTCATCACTCATAAATTCCTGTATTTCTGTTTTGTGCTGTACCTACTGTTGCCTTAGGATCTGATGAAATTTGGTATAATGTGTCTGGCTGGACAAGATCTTTGGTAATTACTTCATTCCTTTATATAATCCACTCTGGATAGTACTGCTTATAGCGAGTCCTTGATGCCCTAGGAGTTCAGCTATTTTGCTGGCAGTTGACAGTGATGTTTATAAAGATGATCTAGCGTGCCCACAGTACAGGAGGAGGGAATAGAAAGTAATCTAAACTGGCAGGATAGACTTTCATCCACCCCTTTTTCTTACAAGGAAAATTTATTTTGTAATGAATAATACCAATGATTTCATATTGTGTAAAACAATGCTATATTGAATATCATAGAAGTATTGACAAGACCTGCAATATCTGATCTCTAAGTCTGGTGAACTTGGCAATGGATTTAAATCCCCATAGCACGGAGGAGTTCTTCATCTGGATTTTAAGTGACATTCATTACTATGTTACCATATTTTATCCTATAGACTTATGGTTATCACAAGAACCTCTTATCCATCCATTAAGGTAGTTTACTGATTTGTAAATATTACTAGGACACTACTCTTAGGAGTAGAGTAATGAAACAGCAACAGATCAAGAAGTGAAAAAATTGGAGGTACTGAATTTAATTGCTTAATGAGGCAATCTAGCCTTCAACAGTCTGCAGGATTTTAAGAGGCCTTTTCTGTGTTGTTTTTTTTCCTGTTGTTCCTTCCTGTTTGTTGTTTCTTCTGGCAAGGGGGAAGTGGTTCATCCAAAATCACTGCCCTGTATGTCCTTGTTTTATTCATAACCTACTTATGAATAATATCTAATTTTTTAACATATTTGGTACTTTTGAGCTTGAATATCTATTAATGAGGTGTTCTTCCTGAATATTTGACTTTCTCAACCTTAGAGAGTAGAGACAAAGCCTGATCAGTAGTTTTCCTGTTACATGTATGTCTTACTAGTGTATTAGAATTCCTGAAGTTTGACAATTATGTGGTGGATAAGAGAACTGGCTTATCTTGTTCACATTGGCATTCAGAGATCTTGGACCAAGATTCTGGGAAGAGGCTATTTAACCGAAATTAGGTGTTTATTGCATGAGAGGTAACTGCCATTACAGATCAAACTGTCTATAATAAAGTGTAGAATTGAATGCAGCGTTTTCATCAAAGCCAAAATAACTGTAGCATGCCTCAGGGTTTTGTATCAGTCATGCCATTACTGTATATTAACTTCACAGATGTAAAAGGTGGTTAGTAGTAAGGTAGAAAAACCTGTAGATGAAAAGTATGAAGGTAAGTCAAGGAAAAAAATTTGTGAAGACTTCATCAAACTAGAAAAGGCTGCACAAAGGAGATAATGTTCCGTACTAATAGAAGTAAAATCAAGTATAATGGAAAACATGACAAATGAGTAACTCTTATGGAGCAGTGTTTGCTTTCTAAATTGCGTCTTATGTTTGTACACTGAATTCTTAAAGGCCTCTTCCAAACCAAAGTGTCTTTCTCTCAACTTTAGCCCAGAAAATGCAGTGCAACTACAATATCAGGATTTTCTTGAAATGTCTTTTGGTGCTGCTGTTACTACAGAGCATCAAGTTAGAAGTAAAGCAAAAATGAGTACTTAATTGTTTGATGTATAAAAACTTGGGAGTATTTTTTTTCTTCCACCTTTGCTTGGAGTTTAACTCTACTTGCTTTTATAATTCAAGTTCTAGGCATTCTCTATAAGGAAATGTTTATTGCCTGTTGTATAATTTTAGTATTACCTGAAGGTAATAGTTGTTCTTCTCAGGTGATTATTGATTTATTAGTATGTTAGTGTAATAATGTAAATATTTAAAATAATGAAGTATGTTTTTTTGTTCTATATTATTAATTTTGAAAGCCTGGTTATTAATTTCTATTCAAATATCAAGGAATTTGGAAGTCTGTGCACTGCCTAATTTTTCCCTTGTGTTCTTTCATATTTTCATGTACTTGTGAAGTCAAAATAGATGTTTTGCAATGCGTAGAGTACCGTGTTTCATTCTATGTACGTAAACTTTCTTTTATGGGGTCTTTCTTATAGTTCTTCATAATAGAACATAACTGTTAAAGGATTTCTTGCTATCAAAAAAATAAATAGCGATGATTCTGCTTGGTTTTCTTAGATTATCTTGCTTACTATGTTTCTTTGGTTTATTCAAGGGCATTGGGAGTTTCAGTGACAGACTACACATTTGAAGACTGTCAGCTAGCTTTGGCTGAAGGACAACTTCGTCTGCCTTCAGACACGTGTCTTTTAGAATTTGCAAAGCTTGTGAGAAGCCTTGGGTGAGCATGTACAATATTTATACGTAAGGTGCATCTTTATATCTATGTTTATATAATTTTCCCTTCATATAACAACATTGCATTTATGACTATATATGGAATGTTCTCCTATTACGATCAGGGAAACATTAATATCAAATTAAGCCAATACTGTTCTCCACTTGCAAGCATCACCCCTAGATCATAATGAGTAGCGTAGGTTGTAAAATTCATATTGTCATGGTCTGACAAGTGCATGGAGTTTGTCTGAAGTGTTTATTCCTGAACAAAACTAAAGACACCTCCTGAAGAGGGTGAGGAGTACTGTGGGATTCCTAATACTGGATACAGTTAAGAATCAGTTGCCCTTCCCTGTGACATCTGTGAAGGAAGAACAGTGCTTCTGTAGCAGTCTTGTGACTGGGTTAACATTGTAATAGTGAGGGCGGAGGGGTCACCCTTTCCCAAGAAACACAAAGAAGTGGTTGATCGTTGAGTATGTTACTGCTAGATGGACCTTCTAATGAAACTGTAGCTTAATATATGCAGTGTGGCTCCCCTCTTCTCATAGGTTCAGTTCCGTCTGGCTTTACCTTTCAGAAAAGCTTCTGCAAACAGTGAAAAAAAATCACATAAACCAAATAGTAGAACTTGTTTCTGCTGTTGTCCAGTTTTTCTCATCCTGTTGAACAACCAGAAGCTAAATCTACAGTCTCATCCTACTAACTGCTTTAATACACACACACCCTTTTCCATTTTTTTTGTCTCCTCACTTGAAAGTATAGAGCATAGTTTCATGTTTCCATTCTGTACTTTATTTCCTTTCACTAATTTTTCTTTCATGTTCCAGCTTGTGTACATAAATTAAAAAAAAAAAAAGAGAAGGATCTATTGGAAAATAAAGAATGTAGGACAGCATATATTATGCATGCAGATGACGAGCATATATTAATTCATTGTCAGGACCTCTGTCTGAAAAGACTTACAGTAGGATATGAGAGACTTCGAAGGGAAAGCAAAGATTCTTGCTTTGTTCCAAAGGCTCTGAATTTACAGTACTAAGGAAAAAAAAAGCAAACAAACTAACTCCCGAAACCATCCATGTCTCTTATTATGCAGTTGATAATCCTGAGATTCAGTTTAATCCTCTTGTTAAATTGTATGGCTTCTGTCTGCTGAATTTAAAGCTGTTCTTTCAAATTGAGCTTTTCTGGTTTTTTGTTTTGGCCTCTAAAACAATTGCGTGTGTTTGAGTGAGGTTCCCCACAACCCAGAAATTCTTTGTCTGGTTTGAGCAGTCGTATGTTTGTGAAATATTATCTTGCCTTGTTTTGTATATGTGCCAGTAAGAAGGGTATTACAATGGTATTTTTCTGGCACAGTTGGATGAAGATTGTAATATGACTTCATCTCTAATGCACGTTTGATGGCGATGCAGTCATTTTGCTATTTATTCAAATGTTTGGAGGCCAGGGAGGCATTAAGATCATTCAGTCGCATCCCTAAATAACTGGAACTGTAAATTTTATCCAATGAATTTTGCATCCAGTCTTTGTCCTTGTTTTTGAGCAATGACATACCTTCAAGGAAACATCCAGTTTTAAAAGCAAGATTTTTATATTAAGGCAAATCCAGCCTTGGTTTTGGTTTAGATTCTTTGAAATCAAGTTATACTTCAGTTTGCTACACTGGAGAATTATTTCTGTTCACTTTCTGTATCTATGGGATTTGTTAACATTGTCTGTAAAATTTGCTTGCCCTGTGCTCAACTGGATCGGATCCAGTCTAGAAGCCATACAGCCACAGCAGCAAGTTCTCATGCTTCATCTAATGAAGAGCTTGGGCTCTGTTAACACAGCTGTACAGCTGCCAGGCTACAGCTGGCTGAAACTCAGCTGCCTTCTGCTGAACTCTGTGGTAAAACGATTGCTGTATCAACAAGATCAATTGATCATAGTCTCGTCTTCTCAGATTCTGCATTTATTAGTCCTCAAGCAGTTATGCTTCTGTTGAGCTTGATAATCTCTCTGACCAATGAGCTGATTACTAAGCTGTAAGCAGTATTTATGATAGCTTTCATACATTGTAAATCCTCTACTTCATTTGATGGTTTATTCCACAGTTAATTGCCCCACTGTTTAAAGTGATTCTGTGTCTGTACTTTGACTGGATCTACTACAATATTATAGGCAGACTGGGATGTCTTCTCCTTCAGAAAGTGTTAATACGATGTAAGTCTTATCTCCATCTTTTTATGAGATACTTCTTATGAGCTGCTTTAGTGTAGTTGTCTGCAAGGAGATCCTTAAGTTCTGATTTTAATTCATTTGTTCCTATTGTCTCAAGCTTCTGTTCGTTCTAATTCCTGCATTCACTTTGCTTATGAAGTAAAAGGACCTTCTAGCTTTAATTGTTATTCCCCGTTCTTCTGGAGCTGTGGCATTTTGGCCATCAGTAGCTCTTGATAGAATTCCTAATTTTCAGTCAAATGTGTCTTTTTAATTTTTTTGTGATTATTCTTAGTTTTAATTGTTTTATTTTCTGAAAATTAGAGATATCTCTCCTCTCTTAAAAATAAAAAAAAAATCCAAATTTAGCACATATTGCGAACCAAAGTAGAATTTATTTTTAGTGGCTGTGTTCTGCTTGCTGTTAGCTAAGGCTTATAAAGTCAGGTCTTGATGTAACCTGAAATTTTGCTGAAGTAATTCTAGTGGTCCAGGCCTTTTGCATCTTTTTGGAAAAAAAGGTAAAAAAAAATTGATAGCCTCATCAAACTCCTAGCCAGATTAAGGATCATCTGTTTTCTTACCCTGTGCTTGACTTTTTTTAAACTGATCTCTTCTCTTTTCTCTTGTCTACCCTTCAATTTGTTAGTGTTCAGTACTCCGCTACTGCATTATTTATTTAATTGCTTCCTGGTTGTTTTTTTTTTTCAGATCTTTCACTTTTAGAACACTAAGTAAGATTCAGAACATCTAGCAAGGGTAGATCTGTCTCACATCCTTCTGTTTTAGTCACTGTCTTCCACTTCCTGATTTTTCTTATCCATTTTCAGTATTTTTGGCAAAAATTATTTACAATTTAAGTTTTTAATTATTTTTTTTTTAATTTTTTTTGGATGCTAGGCAGCACTGATACTGCTACAAGGTGGCACATTTTCTTTTCCAGTATGGTAGCTCACTTGCACTTTGTGCTTCAAAAAGCAGTAAGTATAGGAAGTACAACAAGAACATAATGTGGTATCATGGTGAATGTGTGCATTTTGTGATTGGTATACATGTGGCACAAGACCCTTTGGTTTGGCAGGTTCTTGACCTAATGTATGCATTTAGTTCACAGACTCTGAAGTTCTTCATACTTTTCACTGGAGACAGTATGGCTTTGCTGATTATGTCCCCTTCTTTTAACATAGGTATGATTTGTACCAAATCATCTTTTTCAGGTCAGATTTCTGAAAAATCCCCTGTTCTTGCCTTCTAGATTTCTTAGCTGTCTCAGTAGGATTACTCTTAGTTGGTAATTTTTATCTTTAATGATGGACAGCAATTTATTTTGGAGTTCTTTTTGGATCCTTAACTCTCTCCTTTGCTTTACTGAGCCTGAGTTTTATTGGTGTCTTGTACCCATGTGATGGGTACTAGTGATGCTTGACCTGGGAGAACGTTCTACAACCTTACCAAGCCTGCAGGGTTTATCTCCTTACACAGTCCCTAGGTGTGGTGAAATTCAGTGTTAGTAAACCTACTTGTGTTGAATCAATTCTGCTGTCTCTTAAAAGCCATGTTATTTTGGTAAGCATGGCCTAAATTAAACAGCAGTTCCGTTGTGACCACTACTCTCCAATATTATCTCATCCACTTGGCCGTGAGGGTCCTACTAGGCAATGCTGCTATAGGCTTGTAAGATCTGGAAAACATCCACTGTTGGCTTTCTAGCTTTTAGAGCCATCATTGGCATAAAAGTAACAATTTTCAAGGAATTAAGACATTCAAACCATTTCACATTGGTTCAGAATCTGTTGTGAGATTTGGAACACTTGGCTTCAAAAGGCTTCAGCATAGCAGGTCATGGTCATCCACACATCAATTTCTTTGTGATTCTGAAAGGGCTAGAGGAAAGTGAGCCCGCCCTGGATTACCAGAAGTACAATGCAGTCGTACTCAAGCTGAAGCAGTAAGTTTGCCTCGCTGATGCACATGTTCTTTTTGAGATTGGCTTGCATCTCTTTCTGTATTCACAAAATGCAAACCACAAGATGTCTGTAAGATTTGTGGTAAGCCATGCCACTTTCTGTACAAAGTTGCTCCTTCAAACACTGTAGTTTTTCAGACTTAACTGACTGGTGAAGAGGAGATCTCAGGAGTCTCGAATACTACTGACCAAACGAGTACTCCCTCAGTTCTAGAAGGTGAATTTTGAATTGATTCATTGCAAATCAAATCTCTCTGATTTAGAGGCAGATGTTAGACTGCGTCTTCTGTGTCAGTGGTGGCTTATCTCAAGGGAGGATTCCAATGCCAGCTGTCCTTCATTCTACAGTTAAAATCCATTTTGGCTATTATGGTGGGGATGTATTATCTGTGGACACTTCTTATATGTAATCCTGCATGTGAGAAGCTGAGTTCTGTGTACATCTCAAATCCTCCATGGATCCCTTCGTCATTGTTGCTGTTACTTCTCTACTTGATCGTGGAAAATCAGTGTTTGCAGAGGAGTGTGTTGCTGCTCTTTTTATACTGTCTAGGACCAAAACTTAAGATAGGTGCTTTAATGCCAGGATGGAGAATGTACGAATGTTTTGTAGGGGCCATGGGTCCCTGGAAGAATTCTTGCATGTTCAGGTCTTATAATTCAGAAATACAGGGCTTAGCATTGTTTAGTTAGTACATTTTTGGTAAGTCCATTTAGGTAATAGCAGACAGCATAGTAGTTGTGTTTTTTTTCTTAAAAACAGTGATTTTCAGGAAGGGTCATTTCAGCAAGCGATCGAGGTCTGGAGCTGACGTATCAGATAATATTCCTATCAAAAATGCTCTTATCTTTTTTCAGAAGCTCCTGAGAATGCTCATATTAAGTATTTTATTCATTCTTGTCACTGAGAGGAAGCTGCTGAGGAGTCCCAGCTGCAGTCTGGGAACAATTGTGGTGTGAGCTTGTGAGTTCTGTAAACAACTGCTTTTCCTTGTCTGCAGCAGCAAACAGCAGAACAGACAACTGCAGAAGGCTATTGTAGAAGACTTTATTGACTGCTTTTGTCTTCAGACTGGAAAGTTTGGATGCCCATGTCACACTAAATCAGTTCAGAGGAAATCTGCTAATCAAGATTTGGTTTGCGATGTATTAGGGAGGGAATTTACTTTTCCCCACATACCAGCAACACTATGTATTGTATTCATAGTAAGACTTATTTTTGCAAAGTGAAAACAAGAAGCTTGACTTAACAAAAAGGAAAACAAATAAACAACCGCCATGCAGTAGATACCAGCATGAATATAAAGCTGTTCATTCATCAGTCAAAATCTGGTTTTGCAATCAGAAGGACTGAGGGAATTTCTGTAGCTGTATGAACTGCTATAACTTTCTTAGGGTCACCCCGTAAATGGTGTCCAACTCCAGACTGAATGTAAAAAATGAGGACTGACAAACAGGATTAACAGTGTAATCGCTATTATGTAATCCCTGATTTCTTTTAGGCAAGGTGATGCATTGGGTCTTTCCTGTTCAATGACATTAGTAAATTTGGAATTGTAATTGGTTTATGTTACTGTCCTACAATACGGCTGTATTCAGGTGACCTAAATCCCACCTAGTTCTCCATGCCTGGTATTTCTGATTAGCTAGTTCTAGACTGTGTTTCTTATTCATGTTGAACTGCTTAGACACATGGCTTATAATCAAGGTAGAATAAAGGACACAAGTTTATGAACAGGGTTCCTAAGCTGTCACAGTAATTTCTAATACAGTTCAAGAATTAACATGAGCTTTGAAGTCACAGGAATGCATTATTTTATCATGAAGTTGGTTAGTAATTATGATTCCAGATTTTGTAATGTTTTACACAGTTATCATCCATTGTTTCATTTGGTATATTGCAATTTGTATTGTTAAAACTGTGTTTATTTTTAAACTGTGCAAAAATAATATGCTTTTTAGGCTGAAGCCAGAAACACTTGAAGATGACCTTGATAAATATGCTGCAAGTGCCATGAAAATGAAGAAAGAAAAGGTTGATCTTAAAGAATTTTCAGCATACTTGGAATTTCCAGTTTCTCACACATTAGAAAGTATGTTTGCGCTTTTTGATGAGGTAAGAAACAATATCATGTTTAAAAATTGTACTACTTCTGGTAAACTCTACTTTAGCCTAATTCTGTTTCAGCTTAATTCATTGAGGTCTGATTTGGACCACTGCTAAGTGCTTTTGAGCACTTCACAATATTTATGTACTGCATTTCCCTTTCAGCAAGGTAAGAGCACCTATCATCAACTAAACACATTCATTCAGGTGGAAATTAAAAGGAGTATCAGTTGGACAAAACTGATTTTCTTTCTAGATGCAAAATGTTGAAGAGGAAGAAAGATGGGTTCAGGATAAACCTCTGCTGTGACTTGTTGCAACTGAATGCAATGCCTATTGGCTGATACTTCACTTACCTTGTAAATAAATCACTTATTCTTCTAGGATGCCTGAAACCCGAAGGACCCAGGAACTTGGCAAATGAGCCAGTCTTTCATTCCTCTGGCAATCAGTCAGGATGAGGAAATGACTGTTATCTTTGTCTGGATGAGGTGCTGTTTGGACCAGGAGATGGATAGGTCCACAGTGTTCCCTCTTAGACCAAAGAGCAGATGTCATGTCCTCAGGGCTTGAATTAGGCTACCTTGCTCTCTGGTTCCCTGATTTTCATTTCAACCTGGTAATTCAGATGGCTTAACATAAAAATATTAAATATGCAAGTGAAGGGTGACAGTAGCAGCACTGTCTTCAAAGAGTCTTTGAATTACGACTTCTGACAGACTCTGAAAAGGGCCTGCAGAGCTTTGATGACCCAGGTTCTTGCCTTGAATTAATTTCACTGAGATTTTTTTGCAGTGGCATACGTAATGGTCTTTCTGAATATTCTGCATCTTTAGCAACTGTTAGTTATTTGTGGAAGTTCTCAGCCAAATTGCAGTATTTTGATGTGAGGTTTTCCTTCACAGAATGAAGGTGGCAGAATTGACATTCGGGAATTTGTCATTGCTCTGTCAGTTGTCTGTAAGCCATCCAAAACTCTGGAAACAATTCAGTTGGCATTTCAGGTAAGCAGCGTTTTCTTCCTCTATGTGGTATTAATACTGCCATTAGACTTAACAGAAGCTTGTTTCACATGCCCTTTTAATACTTAATTACATTTTAAAATAACATTAATGGAAAGTTAGATTAAGGGGTCATGTTCAGAGGGAATGCACTGCAAGTTTAAGTCATGTAAAATTATGGAAGTGTGCAGCTTGAAATTGTTCTCTGTGGAACTCTGGCAGAATTATTTTCAGCACATTGAGTCTCAAACCTGAAGTTCTTTGTGTTGATTCCTCTAAACTAAAGGCTAATGAGTTGTGCTTACTATTTTTATAATTTTCAATCAAATCTTATTTTTCAAGTTAATAAAATATTTAACAACTTTTCCTACACGTTAATAGAGATTAATCTTTTTACCTTCTTTTATCTTCTTGATAAGATTTTTCTTCCCTCTTAGTCTTACCATGTTTACGTGTTTGTCCTGCAGTCTCTGTCCAGACTTTAGGCTTCCCAGAAGTGCTCCTGATCTTGTTCTAGCCTCAGTGGTTTGTTGTAGCATCAGCATAAGTGGTTAATGTAGACTTTTTGGGAAAGTGACAGCAGCAATACTTAATGTTTGCCATTCTGTTGGGTTTATCCGACACCTTGATTTATTACTTGTTAATAAATTTCTTTAATAGTGCTATTTCAACATGCAAATTCTGCTGCATCCTGCATCATCTTTTCCCTTTGCCTCGAACTCGCATGGTCTTTAGGGTTACTGAAACTGCAGAGTGCTAACTCTTGACGCTGTCATCACTGGTGAATGCATGAAATCGAGAACATCTATTTGCATGGTACTACATGGCAGCCTTATTTTCAGAGTAGTTGTTTTCAGGTTCTTCAGCATACCTGTATTATTCTCTTAAATTTGTTTTGCTAAAGAAATGAGGCTCCAGTGACTGTTTAGTGTTCACATCTATCATTCTTACCCTTTGGCCAGTATCAAACAATTTTGACAAAGGAGGAGGGAACAAAAGTATTTATTTCCTACAAATACTGGGGGAAATCTGCCTCTAATAGCCGCTGTTACTTACTGCGACTTCTGAGGGAAAAGCAGAAATGTCTCTGCCCTTACTTACTCCGTTTGGTCTATATAATGGCATAAAGACATGGTCAAGTGCTGTTTGGTCAGCACTGTGTCTTCATACTAAAATGAACATGCTTAAAGTAAACTTGAAGGTGGCTTTTGGGCAGTATTTCAGTGAAATTTAGCTGTCGTGATGCATAATGTGCCCTTTTACCATTTTAGGGGAAGAAAAGCTCAGGTTAGGCATTTATTTTCTTTTTTGAAGGACCTAACTTTAAGTGAATAGAACTGTTTCTTAAAAAAAAAAAAAATCAATTTTTTTATCTGCTCTATTCTTCAACTCATAATACATAATTTTGAGTTCCCTGGTTAACTGCAAAGTATAAAGTTAAGTATAGAACTGCAAAGAAGTTCTATGCATGTATGAAGAAGGGGAAGCACTCAGCAAGGGGAAGCAGGTATGGCTCATTTTATCCTGCTAGTGATGATTGGAAGGGTTAAAAAAAGTCTTGAGCTGAGGAAATTTTACTCACAGTAGTCTAGGAGAAAAAAAGAAAGAGAACCCTTTTTTTAAAAAAGCAAACGAACAAAGAGACCTTTCTCACCCGTCCCTTCCTGGGTTCGTGCACAGTAAGATTTTTTCAGACAGCTTATTGGGAGCCATTGGAGGATCTAGCCAGTTCGTGTGTGTGTGACATTGAACAGTTGCTGTCCTCTGCCATATGCCAGTTTTTGCCAAGTGCCTTGTCATTTGTTTTCAGGGATAAAGTACAACATTTCACATAGCTGAACAAGTTTTCCAAAGTGGAAGTGTTTAGTAATGGTTGAAGAACTTGAAAAATAGGAGGTACTGAGCCACCAGAGATCTAAAGTGGTGAGCAATTTAAAGAGAAGGGTGGATTGTGGCAATCAAGTCTAAGAGCAGCACTCCTGTGTAAGTGCTATGCATTCTCCCTTCCTAATTGCTAAGGAAACAAAAGGGTGTTGTGAATCTTGCCAGTATGGTGCTTGTGAGCCTTACCATCAAGTATCACCTTCTGACTACTTGATCTGTGAAAATATAGCAGGTTTTATTAAACAAGTGTCTTGTTCTTGCACCTACTGCTTGCAAAACAGCGTGCAGGTTAGGTGCTATGGAGGAAAAGGCAAGATTCCTGATTTGAGCATGAATGTTGTCTTCCATGGTACTTCAAAATTTTTTTTTTATTCCATTGAGGTGTGGTGTCTTATGACAGCAACTTCTGCTTGTGTGAAAAACACATCCTTATGCCTGTCTTGTTCAATCGCATCAGCTCCCACCTTCTCAATGATGTAGAGAAACTAAAAGGAATTTTCAAAAATAGCATTTTTTTACATGGTTCAATATTTGCAGTGTTGTCATGCTTGAAAATGAGAAGGATGTTTCAAAAAGTCTGCTGTATCTATTTTCATTGCACAGACAAATTGAGTTATTTTAGGAAGTTTAATGAAGCTGTATTTGTTACAGATATTTTTAAATACTCAGGTCTTTTTTTCAGGGGAAAACGCTGTGGATATACAAAGATAGAATGAGACTATGACCAGTTATTTTTAGTTATGCAATCTCCTTTCAGTAGTAAAGCTAACTTTCTATGAGGAAACTCTTTGCTTCAGGACTTAAGAATATGCAAATTATTATTTTCTAGAATTTTGAATAAGTATTTGTAGAAAAGTATACCCCAATCACTTCATGGGGTAGGATTCTCAAGATTTAATACAATGCCATTTAGATGTAGGCATTTTATGCAAACTGGCTGTCGAATCAGTTGGATGTTGGCCAATGGAATCTTGAGTTTTACATCTGACCAAGTGGAAACAGTATCTGCTTTAGGCTGACCTAAATATGTCTACTGATTCCACAGACTGTCTTGGAGTTTGGACACGTAGCTCAATGGACTAAAAAATATTCAGATACATGTCTGCAAAACATGTTAAATCGTCTTGTCTCTGAATATTGCTGAAATGCCAGAGGTTAGGCATGTAGGCATAGGTATTTTCTGAATATAGCAAGCTTTACTTTCTAAGCGTACACAGGAGCACTACTAATCAATGCTGTTGTTTACCCAGACTAATTGAAAATCCTTAGCAGATCAGATCAATCTGAGTGTGACCAGACTTTCCAATAGCAAATTTTAATTTTGCATAACTTCTTAGTGTGATGCTGTGTATAGGAGTTAGCATTCAGCTTTGCAATGATTTATCTTGCTATCTTGATTCATAGCTGTACCATTCAGAAAATGGAACTATAACAGAAGAGGATTTAGCTCACATTCTGAAGACTGCTATGGGTGTGTCACAGATTAATGTTACGCATCTTTTTAGAGCTGTAGATGAAGAAGAAAGAGGAGAGATTACCTATGGTAAGTATTTTAAGTGGATCTGAACTGTCACAAAATGTCAAAGTTGTCTGAACTCACGTTGATATATAAACCAGTTGTATTTTCATTAAACTTTACCTTTTTTAGTTTAACAATGATAAAAGCACTGCAGACAAAGTAAACTTACATTAAAAAAAAAAGTTTCACCTTTAATATCAAATGTCAGGTGTACATGTTTTTAGAGGTTTTCCCTTCCACACTGTCAGGCAATACCTAGATTAGCTCTTTCAGCATATTCTGTTCTGTGACTTCCATGTATTTGAATATGTATTTTTAAGAAAGCTGTCTTAGGTCTGTCATGTTGTTTTGTCTCTTGTATATGTTCCCCACTATTTCTGCCCCCTCAGATTATAGGGGGATGTAAGATTTTCTACTCCCATAATAATTTTTCAGCCTGTTTGAAAATAAGTCATGAGTGTGCACGCAGGGGAAATGAAGGGGATTAACCAGGCTGCTCAATATGTAGTCTGTAATGCAGGCTATATGGAGGTGAGAAAGTGGCATTTGAAAAACTGTGACATCTGGGTTTATGCTGGGAATCAAAGTATTTGTGTGTTACTTCAGATTCTTCATCTTCTTTGCAGTCAGGTTCTAAATTTAGTTGTATCATTTAAATATGAACTGAGTTGTTGATAGCCAACATATCACATATCTCCAGCAGAAGTGCTTATGACATGCCCTGTTCTAGTGGGTTTCCTTCAGGATAATCAGTATGTGTTTAATTTGTAAAAATCTTACAAATTAAGACATCAGTGTTTGTAAATCACAATTTCTGCACGAGTAATTCCTATGTTTCAGTCATACAATATGTATGTAAAGCTTCAGCTACAGAACTATATTTTAGAGTTATTGGAATAGGTATCATTGCCACCGTCCTCCCGTTTTTCATGACTGCTATGTCTTGTCTCCTTAATTCCTGATGTACTACTCCCCTTCCTTTCCTCTCATCTGTCACATCCCCAGTATTTCCATGTCCATCCTATGCTATTGCCTTTTCCCTGCCTATCTCTGTTGCTTCTTGTCTCCCAACTCATTTTGGGGGCGACTCAACTCTTCCCGCTCTGCCATCACCAGCTTGAAATACCAGCACAGAACCGAAGCTGGTAAGCCTACCAGAATTCTGATTGTGGCACACTTCATTGTTTGAGAATAGCTAAATTTGAAACAGTGTACAAGTGAACTCAGACTAGTTCATGTGAGTTACCAAAGAATTAATATTTTAATATCCATCTTTAATAGTACTTAGTTGCATTTAAATCTGCACCTTCCTCCCAAGTAGTCATGGTACTTTCCCATCACAAGAAAGTCTGGACCACTGAGCCACAGCAGTGGCCACTGAAGTGTTTAGCTCTCATTTTCACTATTTAATTTCCTGTAGTCAAGAATAGTCTTTTGTGAGGCTACACAAAGTAGGATGTGTTTACATAATTTCTGTGAAACTTTGCCTGGGTCTTTTTCTGAGAGAAGTGCCCATTTTATAATATAAAAATTGCACTGAGATTTTAACATATCCGAAAGTTTAGTAGTAAGAATAAATGTCCAATTTATTGTGTTAGAGAATTAGAAGATGAAAATAAACTTCTGGTATTGCATTTCTGTCTTGAAAGTTCTTCTCATAAATATTCAGTCCTTTGCCGTTCCTGAGAATATGTGCAACTTTTCACATACTCAGTTTGTTGCACTTGAGTACTGCAAAAGGAAAGGTGGAAAACTTGCAGACTACGCTTTTTCTGAAGGTGTTGTCCAGACAAGTTCTGAGAAATCAAAACTCTATCTGACATTACTTTGGATACACACAGCAGAGGGGTCTGCTCACAAGCTCCTCGTTTCCAGGGTGTTAGAATGTGACGCGGGAATATCAAGTCTTCAGTCTTACTTGTAAGGACAAAAAATAAAATATTCAAAGTATCAAACCTAAATTGCTGCACATATAGCAGAGTCCTTGAAGCCAGAGATCTCGTCCTAAAGCAACAGCTCAGGTTGCAGTTAAACAGAATAATCTGTAGCAAAATGGAGAGTGTATACCTAGATTGATAATCTTGTATCCGAATTGTTAGAGATCTGGATTTTTGTCACATGCTTGAAATACACAGATCTTTGGCAACTAGTGTATTGTTTCAGTTCTCTAAAGCAGTGTGCTGTTGGCTTAACTGTTTAGATGCACATTGATTCCAAGGCTTCACTGTAATCTAGAGAGAGGCAAGATTTCTCAGTCTTAAAACATGATTCTGGAGAATTTGAATAGGTTCTATAGGTGGGCATCACAAATTCTAGGAAACTTTCCACCTGCTCTTGATAGAAAAATTATCACTGTGAAAGTGTTCTGAACTCCACTTTGGTGTTTTTCCTTCTTTTTGTCTCTTTCCTTTTAGTAGGGGTAGGAAGCAAAATTACTTTTTTTCCCCAAGAAAATTACTAAGGTGATCTTTCCCTTCAGTCCAATGCTTCATAGTTGCTTTAAGCTTGAGCTTCAGGATGAGACCTGTGATAAGAAGTAATGCTGGAATAGCTCATTCTTCTTACGTCACCTTGTCTCACATTTCTGATGAATGAGACAAATGGGATCCCAAGCACTTTTCTTTGGGCTCTGCCATGTGCACCTTCAATAAATACTCCTTGATACCTTCAGGACTTGTTTCAGCAAGACCCAAAAGGTCTACTTTCTGACATCTATCAGAAACATTATCCTCTGCAATTCAGTCCTCCATGGAATCAGAGGTTTTTCATTTGGATCCAGTACTGATAAAACATTGAGGGATGGATCCCAACAGAGTTGTCCGGATGCTGATTTGGATACAGACTATCATACTTGTGTGAACAACTGCTTCAAGTGATTTTTAAATCTATTTTCTGAAAAGATACAGTAGCTGTTCGAAGAATTACTTAGAATGGCATCTACAATAAATATTCTAGTCTTTCCCATGCAAAAATGGTTATGCTTAATGTGACTGTAAGAGCATCTTTGGTACTGTTTGTTGAAATTTTCATACTTGTCCTACCTTTGCTGGCTAACAGAATTACCTATCCCAAAAAATGTGATTTTTTTCATGGTTATTAGTATGATGCACACTTTATATGTGTTGTTACAAAAAGGAATAGATCTCTGGGATGGGCTTAAAGCAGCTGTATGGTGCTTCCCCCCAAGACTTTATCATTTACATGATCAAGCAGCCTGTTGAACATAAAGGTTTTTCAACATAAATGATAGTGTTGGTTTTCATGGCCTGAACATCATCAGCTTTCGTTGAAGTTACAGGGTACGAAATACTTCAGATCCCTAAAAACTGTGGATAAAGGATACCCACTTTTTTGTCTGCAGAGGGATAAAGTTATGTTTATTGCATTCTCCCCACCTATCCCTTTGCAACAGTTCAGAGGCAGGGCTGACCCACAATTCCAGTGCCCCTGTGAGCCAAATGACACTCCCTTGCCCGTTGCAATATTAAGAAAAAACATGTCGTCTCAGACACAGAAGGGTGGCAGAGAGGGAAAGCTGTGGTAGTTCCCTTCTTCCACAACAGCCCAGTCGTACCAGGAGGAACTGGGCCTCGCTCCTCTGAAAGGCTGCTTCAGCTGTCATCTGCGCTGCGCTCCAGGGAGCTCCGGCATTGTCTGATCATGAGCTCTTCTGGGATAACACCGTGAATTTGAGTGGGCTGTGTGCAATACACTATAGTTGATTTAATGATAATGTTCACATCCAGCTTTTTCCAGTTTAAGAATAGCTTCTTATGACTGGGATCCTGTACAGTATATTGTGCTCAAATCATGACTGAATAAACAGTTGTCTAGGCAAGTTGTGACAAGGCTGCAATGTCTGCTTTTTAACACAGAATGTTACTTCTTGATGTTAAGGATTCCCCACTCCCTCAAGAAGTAATCTTGTTCTTTTTATTGTCTTTTTAGTATCCAACATTAAAATCGGGGTTTTTTCATAATGTGTTACAAACTATCTTCTCCCATTATTGTTCTCTAAAATATTAGGAGTTTTGAAATGCTGAAATCTTGAAAGCAGAATGCAGCAGTGACAGCTGCTGTTAGGCTGAAGAACATTATGACTGCAAAGCATTAAAGGACATGTTTGCAAAAGACTTCCCAGATTTCAAGAAATGACTACTCTTGCTGTTCATTGTTCCTCAGCTGGAGGGCTTTGGCCCTTCACCCAGTGAACAGTGAGATGCTGTGTTAGGGCATGTGGTGCTTCTCATGCATTTTAATGCAAATCTGAGCCTGTTTACCCCTTCACCATACAAGCTAAGCTCCAGTCTGAAGTGTTTGAAGAGTGCTTGGAGAACTCTTTGCGGCATCTCGGCTCTGGGGATGTGGTAAACTTCTGCTGAGATGCTAAAACAAGCCATGGGGATAGCATTATGTTAACTGCTGCTATTTTTCTCCAAAGAGATCATGGGATTATATATGTAAGTATTCATATTTAGCGTCCTTCTGTTTCAAAGAGCTGATTCTGTGTAACAACAATTTTTTTTTTTAGATGACTTCTACAGATTTGCTGAGTTGCACCCACACTTTGCAGAAGACTATCTCTATGCTGATCAGATGGGAGCTGGGAGTGGCTTGGAGACTTCATCTCTTTCTGCTCCTAATGGTATCTGTACTGACTTCAGCCCTGAAAATGCTGAAGATAAAAACAAGCCCCTGCAGAAGAAACTGAATTAACACTACAACTGTTAACTTTCCTCTCCTGGTGAGAGGATTGTCTTCTCTTGGGATTTTCATAAGTCAGTCCAACTATACAGCAAAAACCAGTTTTCTGTGTGAAAGTTCTTCTACCTTAATACTGTACTTTGAATCATATGTGCTATATTAAAAAACATGTTCCAGGTTACTTTGGGGAAGGTGTTTTTATTTTTTTCAAAAAGTTCTTTGAAAGGCAAAAATGTGAATGTGCTTCATTATTAATGTTCATATTTAAAAGGAAGCGGCACACTTATTTATATTCCATTGGCTAGTTTCATGTACAAAGTGTCGCACAAACTGTGCATGTATAAAGAAGCTGTAGCTACTATGGTGTTAAGTGCACTTTGGTGATTAGTGTTTTCCCTAGTTACGGGAATGTTTATTTGGGGCCAAACTTTGCTGTCCATATTTGCATAGTCAGTCTTGTTGATGTCAGTGGGATTATTCTCTTGAGCAAGGCAAGCATGTTTTGGCCCTTTGTTTCGGTTTCAGCAAAGAGTTTGGAAACAATAATGCAAAAACTTTCTAAGAATTACTTTTTATTGTTGGATGACAAAATTGTTTCAGTCTATTCCATGGTAGAATGAAAAGGAAAGGCTCCTTATCCCTCACCCCAATGCTTTTCTACTGTAATCTTCTGGATGCAATTAAACATTATTTTTTTCCAAACTGACATGCCACATACTGTTTGCAAATACGTGACAAAACTGTTCGTGCTTTTTTCTTACAATCAGTTCAAATCATGTCCACACAACATTTAAATGGGAGATGTTTACACAATTGTATTTAATCTAGATTCATCAGGAATCACAGGCTTCTTTTGTAGCAAGCCTGTATATACAGATAGCTTGGCATGGAACACACGATGAAAACTTTGTTGTATCAGCACAAGTTTGAAAAGGTTGCAGTTACTTCAGAGGCCAAGCCAGCAACAAGTTGCAGAACACCCTGAAGAAATGCTGGTTAAATCTCTATAGCAACATTACATATACTGCATATAACGTATCTTAAAATATGGAACTTAAAATAGTTTAGAACTGCTTAAAAAAAACCAAAACAACCTAAACCACTTGTATTAGTAATGTTTCTTATCTTTCCTTTTGTAAAGCCGGATACCTTAATTACCAATGGACGTCTCGGAGAAAAATTTTAATTATTATAAAAACACAGAGCTTCACTGGTGAGGAAATGCGACAAAAGCCTCAAGGAGTAGGAAGGAGGACTCTGTCACAAAATAACTCTGATGGCAACTGTACTTCCAAACAAAAACACTTTCACATCATTTCTATGACTGATTTTGTAGGGCTGTACTAAAATATGATGGGTTTGTGATTGGAAAACTGTTGAGATGTGAATCTTTCACGTTAGAGTAATTTAAAACTAGATTTGAAAAGGAGGAATTTTAGCAAAAGGAAATACGTTTGCACCAAATGCTTTTGTTATTATTTTTTAAATAGCAGGAAGTGTTTTAAAGCTTATTAGGGTATTAGAATGCATCCTTAAAAATCCCTAACTGTATGTGGCGAGTCTCCAACCTGAAACTGGCTTTAATAGAAAGGGTATGGGGGAAAAACATGTAAGAAATTTTCTGTGGAGTATTTGGAGGTAGTAATTAAATTTTTGATTTATCTAGGTAACGCATGCCAAGCTGGAAGGGCTGCAGCAGACTGGCAGACAAGATTTGAACTAAAACCGATAACGAAAAATAGGAGAAATTGTTTGGAAAAATAAGGCATGTGAGGAATTACATTTTGGTAAGAATAGTCCACTGCACAAACAGAGAAGGGGAAGTAGGTATTACTGCATAAAAGATCTTGGGGCAGGGATGCTACAGAGAATAACAAACTGAGCACTGTTAACTCATTGCTGCAGAAAAGATGGGAAGTAGCTGGACAGAGCCTGGAGGACAGAAAGTACTCAGAAAAAGAGGTCAAAAGTATTTTTTAATCCATAGAAGAGGAAACTGAAGGAAGATGTGAAACAGTCTTCAAATACGGAAAAAGTTGCTGTGGAGAATATAGCAGCAGTCTTTTCTCCACATTGATAGTAGATACAGGCTGTTCATTTAAAAGGCAAGTTAAGTGTTAGGAAACTTTCCTTACAATACACCTCGTTAGCTAAGGAGAATGGGTTGTTCCAGGTGAGGTGAACAGACAGATGGCTATGGTGGAGACACTTGATTTTGTTGCTTGTGCCCCAGGGTCATGGGGATGTGTCCTGAAGCCTACCTTCTGTGATTATACCGTACATATTTTAGTTGGTGTGTAAGGGAAGGCATATGAACTGTAGTCTGGGTGTATCGAATCTGTGCTGCAAGACTTGTTACGGTACGTGGCACAATCTGGCTGGCTAAGATAGTTATCTTTTGCTTTGTAAGTGAGCTTGGGAATTTGAGAATTTCAGAGTGCAGAGGATGAGGTAGAGTTCCCCGAGACACGTGTCTGAAAAGCAAAAGGTAAGCTTAGTATCCCATGGACAACTTTGGGGTGAGAGAAGCTCCAAAGGAAAAGATGCTCTGTCCACATCTGTGAAAGAACAAAGGAAGTCAACTGATGTTGGCTAAATATGAGTGTGCCTAATTTGCATGTATGGTGTATGTAATTTGGGGATCTGTCTTCTGAAAATCAAAGGGTTTATTTGGTTTCATGTCTGCTTTGGTGAGGGAGATCTTTCCTAATTTTGGTGAGTGTAATAACTGCACTTGTGTGCAACTGCGATATATGGGCCCTTAAACAGACACCACAGCGTGTGGTGAAGAGGCACTGACCGCTCAGTCCAGAGCTGCTGCTGAAGGCAGCTGGTGACCAGCACATCGTTTGCTTGGGGAGCAAGTACTCTCAGCGGAAGCAACCATTTAAAAACAAAAAAAAAAAAAAAGGGCACAACAAGAAAACCAACACAAAACAACACTTAGATTCTGTAGTGAATTGCAGTGCTCCCTCTTTTGTGAGATTGTTGAATGAGGTAGAGACATAACAGGATCAATGATAGGGTGAAGTTGTGATCAGCCTGCATGGAAACATGGTTAGGTAACATAATGTCAGAAAAGCTGAGAGCAATGACTATATTTCAGGTGATTTTAGCATCTGTAGAATATAAGGCTATAATACTAGACTGCCTCGTAGTGACAGAAAAGCCACATTACCATAGGGCGGTAATGGAGGGCTGAGAGATGTACCATACTGCACTACTGCAGCAGTGTCCGTTACTGCTCGGCTGTCAGACTCCGGCAGCTGAAAAGGCACCGGACTGTGGAGCAGCTGGGTGGTGACAGTCGAGTTCCAGGGGCTTACTGCAGTGGCGGTAGAAGTGAAAGCTTCCTTTTCCCTTTGCCAAGCACTGACATGTAAATGCTTTCAATTAAAGCGTTACAGATTTTACAAACACATTGTTTTATTTTAACTGGTGATGTCAACAGCCCCTAAATTTACAGGGAGACATATGAAGAAATTACTTCAGTTCTTTGCAACAATTTAACTTAATAAATGATCCTTACACAAAAAATGCAGGAGTGTGAAGGCATTTGACATTTCTGATGACCACTTTGCTACTGTTATGTAATACTGCCATCCCTTGCCAGCAGAGCTCTTGCATCAGACTGAGTTTTTAGATTATTGTATGAGAGACCCAGCCAAAGCTTTGCTGTTCTGATATGGTTGACCAAGTATAATCTGTATTTTGAATGTATTTAAAGTAACACAGAAAAATCACAAAATCCAAGACATCTAGAAAGTGTCCTTTTTTTGCTTCATTTGTATTTCTTCAAACATAGTAAAACCCCACTAAGACCACACAGAAGTTTAGGAGGCGTAAAGCATGTTTAAACCACTGTCTTTACCACAGCAAGGCACGTGCTGTTCTAGATTGGAGAAATTAGATTGTACACTTAATTTTATGTCAATGAAATACACTATATGTTTCAATGCATTTACTATAGCTAGACTAATCTTACTGTGATGAAAAGCGACCAGGCTTGTGTGTGTGTGTCTGCTAATCCCACTTGGAATGTATAAATCCTTAGGTCACAAAGGTTGAAAAGGAGATGCGTGTGCAGTAAGGAAGTGATGCAGCCTCTTTAGTGGCAAAGCTGCCGGAAGTAAATTTTGTATGTAGTTGTTTATTAATATTTTAATGCAAACTGAGTAGGTTTGTTAGCTAGTTTCAGCATTGGGCTGGCTGGAATATGTTTTTATTCATAATAGGTAGTAAACATTTTTCTGGAGGAGGGGTTGTTGCACTTCAGCATTTGCATAGCTTGATACATTTTCTAAACAAGATGTCTGATTATTCATTTATGAGTTCCCTTACAATGGTATTGCTATTAAGTTATTTTTCCTATGTTATATTTTCATGCAGTAAGTACAGCTTTTCGTGTTAACTGAGTCACATTCTGCTCTCTGTTCCTTCAAAAACAGTATTTTCATTTTTTTTATAAAAAAAAAAGGACTTAAGTTCTGCAACTTGTGTTCTTTGAGTGCTGTGTGGTGTAGATCCCATGATGTCAGGAAAACTATATAAGCACAGCTTTGCACATATTGCAGGACATCCATCTAGGATGGAAAAAAAAAAATGATAAAAACTCTTAACCAAGTCAGATTAATTTTCCTTTAGGTGAGAGTGTGGCTTACAAAACCTTCTGAAATGTTACGTTTTGCTTAATGTGAAGCTCCTGCTTTTTTCTAGCAGCACTTTCATGAGTGTCCTCGCATTAAGAAATTACAAATGTGTTGGCCAAGCGTTTTACATTAGCAAAATTTAAGTTTAGCTCCTAAACTCATATTGAAGCACAGAAGTTCCCTGTGAACCAAGCACTTGGGATGGTTTGTTACTTTTTAGGTATCTGACCTTCAGCTAATTTGGAAAACTTAAATTATCTATTTAATATGGCTAGATCCTTTACAAAAAAGGAGGAAGAGTAGGTCCAACAGTTTGAAATGGAAAGTAAGAACTTGTAATCGGTGCCATTGATCATTAATTATTAATTAAATTAACAATTAATCAGTCCAG